ATTTTTAAATGAGCTTGATACAATACCTTAATCCAGATCAGAAATACATATATACAGTATAACAAAATTGACCTTAAATTTGTATCAATAAACCAAGATCCATACCCTGCAAATCTCTATTGCATATCCCCCTTTAAATGTAAACAAACATTTATAAACAATTATTTAGGGAATTTGGGTGTAGTTCTCTCCAAACTGCTTCCTGCTTTTTATTGGGTGAAATAGTTTGGGGGGTGCTCACCTTTCTGGGGGGTCTTGGTGCATCAAACCACATTAGTCTGGAATTAATCCACAGGTTCTCATCTGTTGAAACAGAAGAAGAACCTCTTCTCCAAAGTGACAAGTCCTTAGACCAAAATTCTGAAGACAGGATACCTTTAAAATATCTATGCTGGTTTGGCTCCTTCACTGTCAAAAAATTTAAAGAAAACACAATAATTTAGGAGTAGCAAGTGCCGAAGCCACTGTGTGCCTCTTGGGCAGTTGACTAGAGATGTCATCCTGGGAAGCTATCTGGATGGCAGCCTGGCTTTACTGACCTGGATTTCTACCAGCAAGTTTCTAGAAAACTGGTTCTCAGAGTACGCCAGGCTGTGGGAGAAACCAGGAACTGGGGATGGGTCCTGCAGTCCAGTGTGATGTGGGCTCCTTTGGGTACCACCAGTCCAGGCCCTGGCTACCCAGTGTGGCCCCAGCCTAGAGCTACAGCTTCCTCTGGAAACAGGGCATCTTGACCTCCTCCCCACTCCAGGTTTGTGCCTGGTGGGATCCTTGCTGCTCAGGTGTAAGTGTGCAGCCCGTGTGACTTTACAAGGCAGCTGTCATGGTACCATGAAAGTGATGGTTGAGAATAGCACATGTTCATCTGCCCAGTTCTGAGGGTGAAGTTGACAGGGCTGTGTTCTCATAGGCTCTAGAGGATGCTTCTCTGCCTCTTCCAGTCTGTGGGGGGACCCAGGCTATGACGGGTGTTCTAGGCTGTGTGCCCATTAGTCATGGCCCTCCCTGCGTGGTGTCTGAACGTCTCTCCTTGAGTTAGGGCCTACTATACTCACTCTTGATGACCTCATCTCAGTTACATCCGCAGACCTGCTTCAGATACAGATGAAGTCCTTTAGGCTCTAGGTGGACATAGATTCCAGGCATGCCAGTTAGCCCAGGAGAAGCCTGAAGCAAAAAGGCACTTAGGATGGAGGTGGGGAGGGCAAAGTCAGAGGGCTGCCTCTTGCTCTTCTGCGTTTCACCCAGCAGGCCATGGGAAGCCTGCCAAGACTCTCTCTAGCTCGGGGCAGGGGTGGGAGTAGGGTGGCCTGAGGACTGCCCTTGTCAGTCCCCAACAGTGTGAATGGCAGGGGCCCTTGGCTAGGAGAGCTGGGCTGAAGAACACAGTTCCATAAGAAAGGGGCAAGAGGACGAGCCTGCTGTCTGCATCTCTTTCGAGGGGGAATTTAGGGAGACAGGGCTAGGGTCAGGAACTTAGTCTCCTGTAGTACAGGTTGGCTTTGAACTCACTCAGATCCTCCTACCTTTACCCTCTTCCTGGAGTGACAGGTATGCATACTATGATTTATGCAGGGCTGTGGATTGAACCTAGGGCTTGCACACTAGCAAATGTTCTACCAATCGAACCTTATCCTGAGCCCACACATAGCCTTTCTAAGGCATTCCTTGTAGGCTCTTCTGTGGCCTGAGTGGGGAGGAGGTGCCACTTGCCTGAAGTCCCTTCCACAGGGAGGGGGCTTAGTCCGGAGTGTAAGATGAGGGAAGAGATCCACCAGAAGCTGGTGGTGCCTAGGGAGGTGCCAGCCCCAGCCAGGAGGACCATGTTTCAAGAATGAAGTGAATACACAGCCCCAAGCAGTACTGGCATGGCTTTCTGTTCCTGTTCACGCGAACAGTCACATATGCAGAGTATGTGTAGCCCAGCAGGCACATGCCATGAGCCTACGTGCAGTCAGCCTCGGAGCAGGTGTTTTGAGACAGCTGAAACAACATATGAGACATCCTCCTTGTCACCTACAGATAGAGGAAACTGGGTGTGGCCGCAGATACCTGCCGTGTACTTGGGAGGTAGAGGGGTGTAGTAATTACACGGACACTGTATTCTTTTTAACACTGCTTGGCCCATTATATCTAGCCTCTTCTCGGCTAACTCTCGCACCTGGACTAGCCCATTTCTAATAAAGTGTGTAGCACCAAGGTGCTCTTACTGGGAAGGTTCTAGCCTACGTCCATCCTGGGCCGGAGCTTGATCGTGTCTGCCTCAGAGGGCAGAGCTATCACACGTCTGCCCAGGAGAGGGGAGCATGGCATCTCTGAGCTCACTTCCTCTTCCTCCCAGCATTCTGTTCTGTTTACTCCGCCCACCTATGTTCTAACCAATAAAATGGGCCAAGGCAGTTTCTTTATTTTTTAACCAATGACCTTCCTCCATCAGAGGGGGGAAGATCAAGAGTTCCAAGTTGTCCTCAACTTCGCAGTGAGTGAGTTTGGGGGCAGCCTAGGCCATGAGCTCTGTCTCAAAACAACAAATGGGGGCTGGAGGGATGGCTCAGTGAGCACTTCCTATTTTCTCAGAGGACCTAGGGTGGCTCACAACTGCCTGGAACTGCAGCTTCAGGAGCTCTGACTTCCTTTCCTGCCTCTGTGGACTCCTGTACTCACATGTACACACAGACATGCAAACATACACATAGTTAAAAGTATATTTTAAAATGTGTCTTTCTGTCTGGTGGCAGCCATCAGATCAGGTGAGCCAAGGTGGGTACATCTGAGTATAGACAGTGATTCTCAACTGTGGGTTGTGACCCCTTTGGGGGTCCTGTGACTCTTTCACAAGGGTCACAGATAACCTGCATATCAGATATTTGCATTACAATTCATAGCACTAGCAAAATTACAGTTATGAGGTAGCAACAAAAATAAATGTATAGTCGGGGTCAGCACAACATGCGGAACCGTGCTCAAGGGTTGCAGAGTTAGAACCACTGCTCTAGAGGAAGAAGAGGTCTGACGCGATGCATTTTCTTCACGAGTCCGCTGCTAGCTGCATCACCAACTCTCTGTGCTATATGGGATTCCCTATCCTCGTCGCCCTGCCCCCAACCATACAGCAAACGGTACTTTACGAGGCTAAGCAAAATTATATCAGATGCAGAACTTCATGTTCATAGGCGCAACTGCAAAGACCCAGTTTCTTAAAGGCAAGCCCGACTGTCATAGTGCTAAGCAGCTAAAGACTGCCCAGGCTTCAGTCTTGTGGAGAGAGCTGGACTCCACTGCTGAGCTTTGAGAGTCCTGGATTCTTACTGGGTTTTGAAGGTGTCACATACAAATTCTTTGAGGTTCTCCTCAATGACCCACTCCATAAAATACCAGAACAAATCCCGACACCCATCGGATCTCGTCATTAGCACTGGGAGATGTGTGGGCTGCCATCTGCTGGTCATAAGAGTTGTGGTCTCCGAAAGAGCTTCAATGTTCTGACACTCACCACAGCTGTGAACTCTCCAGCTCCATTACTGGTGATTTAAGTAATGTTTGTAAAATTTATGCCAGTAAATGATTTAGCATAGTCTGTCTGTCTCTCTCTCTCTCTCTCTCTCTCTCTCTCTCTCTCTCTCTCTCTCACACACACACACACACACACACCCCTCAAACAAAAAAGGAGGGAGAGTTGGCAGGTGTCAGGGCACCTTTAGGGGTGCAGGGCTGATCCCAGTACCCATTTAAAGGTAAGAAAATGCCTTACCTGTCTTTGAGCCCTTCACAACGACAGGGTGATTATGGCCTGTGCCCACCTGCCAAAGTCCTGCCTCCTTCCCTTACTCTCTCAAGGCCGCAGAGGTGCACTGTCCAGTCTTCCCCCACCATGCCTTCCCCCATAGCATGGAGTCGGAACCTCAAGATTCTCAAGTCTACGAGTGCAAAGAGGTAAATCAGTAGAAACTTGGGGAGGAAAAGTGTTCCACATGGAGGTGGTCAGGACCAGAGGGAGGTGCTATGTCCATGTGCCCTCATAGGAGTTAGCAGGAGGCCATGTATCATGTGCCTTCACAGCAGGAGACGCCTCTTCCTCTGGCACTTGCGGCCTTTGGCAGCCCCCGTTAGCTCCGTGTAGTCCACAGCCTGGGTGTCCACACAAAATAACTGACGACTGGGCCAACCTGGATTTAGTGCCTTGCAGGCAAACCAGCCACCAGGTGTGGATGGGGGATGGAGACTTCCAGACCAGTGTGAGAACCTAGTCAGTCCAGGGCTCAGTGGCAGTTCTGGGAGCCACCCATATTCCTCTGCCTCCCAGGGGAAGTGGGAACAGCATAGAATGCTGAGAATCAGAGCCAGTGCTAATACAGGAAGGGGTGAGGAGAGGAAGGAAGAGATGGAGGAACTTCCTACCTGGGAAAGTCACCCACTGAGAGGTCAAACTCCAAGGTGCCTCAGTAGCTAGCTAAGGGCTGGAGGCCCAGTTCCAGCACCCACCATCCCCAGCTCCCAGGAGGCAGAACTGGCTGTGTACTGGTCATTGGGTCCCAGCAGCCTATAATTATGGCATAATGTATCTGGTGAGGAAACGACACAGAGGAGAGGGGGGATGCGGATCCCAGCTGAAGACAATGTCCTCAGTGTGTCCCCAGCTGCGGTGCACCCCCAAGGCTGTGTATAAGGTGTCCCTGAGCCAGATTCCTTTTGACAGTCTTCTGGAGAAATGGTGTAGGTCGTTTCCGGCTCCAACAAGGAACTCAGCATAGCTTCAGGAGAGAGAAAAGGGTCCTAGACAGGCTCAGACCAGGACAAAGACAGTCGCACCCAGGGACCCCTTTCCTAGGCTCCCAGGAAGGGACACTGACATTTGTCCTGTTGCCACAGAGCCTCGGCCTCCAGCAACAAGGACCTCCAGGAGAGTCTGTACTCCCAGTCAACCTTCTCAGGATGCTGGGCCAACCGCTGCTCAGAGAAAGCCGGAATCTGACCCTTCTGGCATTGGGCCCAGTCTCCATGGCAGCAGAGGATTTATTTCAGGCCTCCACCCAGCCTGGTGGACTTTGGACTCCAAGTCAGAGGAAAGACAACTGAACGCTGTTCCAGGAGCAAGGGGTGCCTGAAGATGGTGAATGAGGAGAGGCGCTGGAGGGAAGTAAGTGGGGAGGCCCTTACGGGAGTCCCGCCTGATTGTTCTGCTCTCTGTTGCAGGCCAAGTTTCTTTCCCAGGACCAAATTAATGGTAGGTTGGGTTTGTTCTTTAATTAGTAACTCCCCACAAAATGTGTGTCTCATTAAGCAATTTGCTTCACTGGGTTCTGTTGGTAGGAAGGAAGGCCGGAGGGGTGGAGAGCTGGCCCACCCACAGGCTTGGGGCCAGGTGCTGTTTGGGGGTGACCCTGAAGATGGACTTGCTGACTTCCCGGGGCTTGTTTTATGTCAGTGTGACTTTAAAGTTGGGTCATAGAAGAGCTTGCTAGTGCTCCTTAGAGCCTGAAAGTGGGTCTGGGTGGAGGCTGGTGATGGTGGGAGAGGGAAAATTAACGTAGGAACTGAGGCCCTAGACAAAGGGACAGGGCTTTGTAGCCGGTGCCGATGGGGAACAGAAGCCAGGGCTACACCCTTCGGCAGGGTATTTCTTTATGAGTGAGCCGTAGTCTCTGTAAAACTCGGGGCTCGGCTGACATCTCCCGCCTAATTCAGTGTGAGCACCTTGCTCTTAGGCTTCCTCCTCCGGAGCAGAGGTCTGCTTCCCAAGAACAGAAAGGCAGAATTGGGTTACATAGAACTTGGCCCAGACCTGGCCAGGGGTCTGGTGTTTGAGTATATGGCAAAAGAGGCCCAGACTGGGACCTTCAGGGAATGAGGAGCTTTCCCGAGGGCTGTGCCCCTAAACCTACCCCAACAGAAGATGAAAACAGCCCCGATGTCAACTTCTCCTTATTGGTGCTGAAATGGCACTTTGTCAGCAAGTGAAAAACTGCAGGTCCACAGGGCCCAGGAAACTCTGACGCAGAGCAGTGTCCAGCAGGCCACAAGCTTCTGTTACTCTGGCAAGGATCCAAGAAATGTAAGTGACCAGAGCTTGGTCTAGAAGAGGGGGTGGCAGGAATGTGTCCTAATAGGGTCCATGGGGGTACCATCTAGAATCCTTAACTTCTTGATTTGGGGACAAATAAAGGCCAAGGCCAGAGGGGACAGACGAGGGGATTTTAAAGCGCTGGGCCTAGCCCACTTTTATGAACCTGGCAAGATAACTTGGTATTTAGGAATCTGTACTGCTCTTGCAGAAGACACAAGTTTAGTTTCCAGCACATGTATAAGGATTGCTCCCAACCACCTGTAACTCCAGCTCCCAGGGCATCTGACACTTCTGGCCTCCATAGGCACCTGGATTTGCACGCGTGCGCAAACACACACACACACACACACACACACACACACACACACACACACTGAAAACTAAAGTCTTTAAAGTTGGACCTAAGCTAAAGACCTCCTTCAACCTCAGAAATTCCTCCACCATGCCAGGATGACAGACTGGTCCTCTCTCCTACGGCTTTTGAAACTATCAGAAAGGAAGAAAGCAAATTCTCTGTTTCCCAGGTTCTGATACCAAGAAGGTGGCCATTAATGTTTAGTGACTGGAAGCCCAGGTAGGGATGGGCGAGGAACAGGGCCTCTGAGGGTCGCTGTCTGGTGGTTCACCTGGGAGCCTCAGTTTTCTTATCTGAGAGGGAGGGACAATGATGCCACCTTATGGGGCTGCTGTGGGCTAGGGACAGAGGAGAGAATTAGCATCACATGCTGAGCACTGGGCATGACAAGTATACTTTAAAGCTGATATCACTATGTCCAGTCTGTGCAGAAGCTAAGAAGACAGCTTTGCTGCAGTCAGGAGCATGGAAGCCTTGAAAGATGTTCCAGTTTAGGAGCGGGGGAGGGGGTGTATCTCGGTTGGTAGAGCGATTGCTTAGCATGCATGAGATCCTGGGTTCAATCCCTAACACCACATAAGCTGGATATGATGATGTTTTCCTGTAATCCCAACATGCAAGAGGCAAAGGCAGGAGGATCAGAAGTTCAAGGCTAACCTGGGCTACATGAGACTCAAGAAAGCAAGAGGTTTCAGTTTAGTGAATATAATTCATACCATGGTGAGAAACAGTTCACTGGAGGGCCACTTACTCGATTTACTGGAAGTATAATCTCAATTTACTGGGAAAAGAATTGCATTATTTCGTTAAATCGAAACTGTGGGTTAACTATGAATACAAGAGTGGTCAAAATTCACTTGTAATGTTGAGTTGGCTAGATAGAATTTATTCTATTTATTTAGTTAGTTTTTGTTTTTTGAGACAGGGTTTCTCTGGATAGCCTTAGCTGTCCTGGAACTTGCTCTATACACCAGGGGGCTTCAAACTCAGATCTGTCTGATTCTGCCTCCCAAGTGCTGGGATCAAAGGTGTGCATCACCATCTCCAGGCTACACAGAATTTATAATGGCGAGCACTGCATATTTTATTACGTGTGAATTGTGCACTGCACATCCTCAGTGCCTGTGAGGTGCATGGTGAACGTATGAATGTGTTGGCACAGCTGTTACCTATTTTCCCACATGAGCCTTCGGTAGGACGGGAGGAGGCCTAGAGAACGTCAATTTCCTATTTGCAGGATTTGCATATCTCTAAGGATTTTTAACGCAATGCAATTACCTCAACGTATTCTTTACTTCAGCAAGTGTCCTTCTCTGTGCCAGGCAGGCCCCAGGTGTTAAAAATTCAGCAGTGAGCAGAAAGATGATCCCCCCCCCCCCATTCTTGGCGTCACAATCGAGGAGAGTGAACGACAGAATGCAAAGCAGTAAAGGAGGGGTGGCTAGACTAAGAGGATAGAAATGGGGGGGGGGCGGACTGATGAGCAGGGTCCTCAGGGGAGCCAGGGCCTGCCTGCGGGTCCAGGTGTCTTCTTATCTTCTCCCAGCACAGTGAGATAAGATTGCAGGTATCTAGGACCCATTAAGCCTTGTGATGCAATACAGGGTCCAGCTGGCCCCAGAAGTGCCTTCTGGCTACCCAGGCAGGGATCCCAGAGATGTAAAGGACCAGAGTTTGGTCTAGAAGAGGGGTGGTGGAGTGGGGAGCAGGAGGGATGGCTCAGTAGTTAAAAGCATCTGAGTTAGTTTGATTCCCGGCATCTACACTGGTGGCTCACACCCACCTGTAATTTCAGCTCCAGGAATCTGGCTGTGCAGGTTTGAAGAGATGGACTGTGTCTGGCAAGATGGCACAGTGGATAAAGGCACTTACCGCTAAGCCTGACAATTAATTCCATCTGTTCATCGCACTCCCTCAAAAGATACCTCTACCCCCAAAACACACAGACACCAACTAACTAACTAACTAACTAACTAACTAACTAACTAACTAACTAAAATGTACTAACACATTTAAGAAATGAAAGCATGGAAAAGAATACGCCCCAGTTACCAACTGGGGGAATGCAGTGTGCCTGTCTGGACAGCTAGCAAATCCTGGGGCCCTCTCTCAGGCTTCAGTGGCCTTCTTTGGGAAATGGAAGGGATTAGGGGATTAGGGCAGCTCACCCTAGAGAGTCTCCATCTACAAAGCTAGGATCTTTCCCAGGCTCCCAGGTGGCTTGGTTTTGCCTCCAGGGGCTGCTGGGAAGAAGAAGCAGGACAGTTCTGCTAGCAGCGTAACTGCAGTGGGCGGAGGCGGCTCCTGCACAGGGAAGGAAGGACTGCAGGCCAAGCTGAGGCAGGCACTGCCGATGCTCTGTGCATGCTTCCGGGCAGTTCCAGGTAGGGACCAGGACCTACCTGCCAGAGGAGAGCCTGAGGGCTGCTTATGTGATGTGAGAGTGCACGTGCAGCTCTAACAGTAATAAATCCCCTCCTAGGAGAGCATCATGGGACCACTGTCCATCACTTGCTTCTGGACGCATTCGGCAGGCAGAAGCAGGACAGTTGCATCAATTTTGCAAAGGTCCTGATGAGTCTGTCAGCCCTACCCAGCTTTCTTCTCCCTGGATAGCCTTGGAGAGAGTTTTTGAGTGGCATCTTAAGGAACAGAGAAGGAAAGGAGGGGGCTTCCTGGCCAGATAAACCACAGGATACCCCATGACATCTGGATTTCAGATAAACACTCTTTTTGAGTCTAGTACAGCCCATGTAGAATTTGATATGTGCTTGGTATCTGCTTACACTAAAAACGAATTCAGTGGGGGTTGGAGAGCCGGTCCTTTCAGAGGGCCTGAGTCAGGTTCCCAGCACCTATGTGGAGAGGTTTTTTTTTTTTTTGGTTTTTCGAGACAGGGTTTCTCTGAGGCTTTGGAGCCTGTCCTGGAACTAGCTCTGTAGACCAGGCTGGTCTCGAACTCACAGAGATCCGCCTGCCTCTGCCTCCCGAGTGCTGGGATTAAAGGCGTGCGCCACCAACGCCCGGCTTTTGGAGAGGTTTATAATCACCTGTAACTCCAGCTCTACAGCATCCAACCTTCTGGCCTCTTTGGCACCTGCACATGTGTGGCATTCACTACTAGAGTCACACACATACAGATCAATAAAAACAATGTATCTTCAACAATTTGTTTTTCTTAGAATTATATTTAACTTGGTAGTTTTATAACATTTATTTATGTACTGTGTGTGAGTGTACATGTATTGTGGATGTCAGAAGCCAACCGGCAGGAGTTGCTCCTCTCCTTATACCATGAGGGTTCTGGGGATCAAATTCAGGTCATAAGGTTTGGCAGTAGCAAATACCTTTACCAGTCAAGCCACCTTTGTTGCTGGCCCTTTGTTTTGCTTTTGAGACAGTGTCTTATATAGTCTAGACTAACCTCTAACTACTACATAGAGGATAACCTTGAACTCTTGAGTCTCGTGCCCTCACCTCCCAAGTGCTGAGATTACAAGCATGTGCCATCACACTGTGTTTTTATGGGGTTCTAGAAATCAGGTGGGGCAACGAAAGGGAAGAGAACAGGGAGGAAGGGGGAGCTCAATGTTACAGTGCCTACACATGTGTAGTGGGGAGGCGCAAACGAGAAAGGAGTGAAAGAGAGGATGGGTGATGGAGTGACCATCTGCTACAACTTCCTTCTCCGCTCTGTACAGAGTACAAAGAATGCTTCTCCCTGTATGACAAGCAGCAGAGAGGGAAGATTAAGGCCACAGATCTTCTGGTGTCCATGAGATGCCTGGGGGCCAGCCCCACGCCTGGGGAAGTACAGCGGCACCTGCAGACTCATGGGATAGGTGAGTGGGCTTGTTGGTTTTTTTTGGGTGGGGTGTTGGTTTTTGAGACAGGGTTTCTCTGTGTAACAGTCCTGGCTGTCCTAGAGCTCACTTTTATAGACCAGGGTGTCTTTGAACTCACAGAGATTCTCCTGTCCCCGCCTCCCAAGTGCGGGCATTAAAAGTGTGCATCCTCCATAAAGATCAGGGTGGGCTTGTGAAGGGCCCAGCTGGAAGAAGCAGATGGTAGTGGTGGAGAAAGCTCAGAAGCCTGAAGTGCTGGTGGTAGCGTGCCTCACCAGGACTGGACTGTAGAGGTAGCTCGCCATGTGCATAGTGTTTCTTTCCACAGGGTCTGATGTCCCACAAGTCTGTCACAACTCCTAGGAAAGTACACTAACACTGGTCTCAGTGTTTTTTCCCCTTTGCTTTCATTTTGAGATAGGGTCTCATGTAGCCCAGGCTGGTCTTGAACTCACCTTGTGTTAGCCCAGGGTGATTCTCCTGCCTCCACCTCCTGAATGCTGGGCTTACAGATGTGTGCTACCACACCCAGCTCCTATATTTATGGGGAAATAGTCTTTTGCAGAGGGTTTGGCATATGCTTAGTGAAAACATCCCATCTGTTTAAGTCTCTATGTCATTATTGGGGAGCTGGTGGTCCCACAAAAGAATGATTACATTTGAGAATGCCTGCTATATTTGATTCCCAATCGTAATAGTACTTCCTCCTCAGGACCGCCAGCCCACAAATAACAACATGGAGATTTATTATTGTTTTTGAAATTTAACTTTTTAATTTTGAGTATTGGTGTGCAGGTGTCAGATTCCCTGGAACTGGAGTTACAGACAGTTGTGAGCTGCCATAAGTGCTGGGAATCAAACCTGGATTGTCTGGAAGAACTGTCAGTACTCTTAACTGCTAAGTCATCTCTCCAGCCCCATGGAGACTTACTATTATTAAAGGTTGACCTTAGTTTAGGCTTTTTTTCTAACCAGTTCTTATAATTTAATTGTTTCTATTAATCTATGTTCTGTCGCATGGTATCACCTCTCTTCCATTTTACATACACCTCCTGTTTCCTCCCTGTGTTTTGCTGGCAACTCTACCTTTCTTCCTCCCAGAGTTTGCTTTTCTTTCTGGAAGTCCCACTTATACCTCCTGCCTAGCTATTGGCTATTCAGCCTTTTTTTTATTATACCAATCACAGCAATACATCTTATTCCACATATAAATATCCCACATTTCCCCCTTTTTGTCTAAATAAATAGGAAAGATTTTAACTTTAATACAGTAAATATAATGAGAACAATTATCAGATAAAAATTACACTTGCAATGTCCAGGTCATCTGTATTTGGAATTTTGGAGAAAATACTCTATTGTCTATTCTATCTTGATGAGTCCAAAGTCTTATACCTAAACAAACCACTTTCTATCGTAACTTGTATTATCATACTAAAAATATTTTAAATCTTAAAACAATTTCTTAAACAACTTAAGTTTTTATGTCTCTTAACTTGATAATTGTTTTTTAAAGATTTATTTATTTATTTATTTATTTATTTATTTATTCTGCCTGCATGCTTGCACATCACACCAGAAGAGGGCACCAGATCTCATTATAGATGGTTATGAGCTACCATGTGGTTGTTGGGAATTGAACTCAGGACCTCTGTAAGAGTAGCCAGTGCTCTTAACCTCTGAGCCATCTCCCCAGCCTGACAATGTTCTTATTATATATAATTGTCTGTGTTAGAGTTAAAACCTTCCCTTTTTATTTAGACAAAAAGGGGGAAATGTTGTGGGTATTTGTACACTGTGTGAAGATATATTGCTGTGATTGGTGTAATAAAAAGCTGAATGGCCAATAGGTAGGCAGGAGGGAAGGTTGGACTTCTAGGGAGAAAGCGAGAGAAGAAGTCAGAGGGATGAATCAAAGTACATGGAAGATGCCTATAGAACCCAGAAGTTGGACATATGGGACAGAGGAAAGGTAACTGAGCCACATGATAGAATGCAGATTTTAGAAAGATGTTAATTAAGTTATGTGTTAGAAAAAAACCAAAGCTAAGGCCGAGCTTCATAATCAATAAGTCTCCATGTTGTTATTTGCAGGCTGGTGGTCCCAATGAGAAAGTACTATTATGCAGCTCCATCTGGTTCTATGTCATGATGCAATACTCTGGGTTTCTGCTGTCACTTTAGCAAGACTGGAGGAGGGATTAATAAACATAGTATCATAGGCTTTTTTTTTCTTTTTCTGTTGCTATAAAATACTTTGCCCAAAGCAACTTAAGAATGGGTTTATTTTAGCTCATGTATCAAGGTAAAGTCCATCAGGGCTTGAAGCAAATGATCACATAGTAAGAAGGCAGCAATGATTGTGTGTAAGCTAGGACTCAGCCCACTTTTCCTCTGATATAGCTGGGGATCCCCTACTCTAGCTTCTCATCAACTGACATAATTAGAATGATCCCCCACAGGTATGTCCATAAGCCTTTCTCATCAAAGTTCTAGATTCTGTCAAGTCAACAGTTAACACTATCACACATTGTTACTGAAGACTGTTGGGAGGATGGAGACTTTCCATTGTGTGAATGTGGGTCAGAAGGAGAGCTTTGTCCCTCTTACCACGACCAGTGTCTTGAGAATTAGGTAGCTTTGGGGTTGGCTGTGACAGTCAGGCAGGTCAATGGGCTTCCCCAAGAGCAGTTTCCTCCAGCTCACTGGTGTTTGGGATTTCGTAGACAAGCACGGAGAGCTGGATTTCTCCACCTTCTTGACCATTATGCACACGCAAATCAAACAAGAGGACCCAAAGAAAGAAATCCTTCTTGCCATGCTGATGGCTGACAAGGAGAAGAAAGGTTACATCATGGCATCTGAATTGCGATCAAAACTCATGAAACTGGGAGAGAAGCTCACTCACAAAGAAGGTAACAGCCTGGCTGACTTGATTCGGAACCACTTGGGAGGGTTAGGGAATTGTGGGGAGGGCAATGCTGTGTACACCATCCAAGGCTGTGCAGATGGCCAACTGATGAATGGCCCAGGAGCTCTGTAAGTATGAGTAATGCTGGCTAAGAGCTGGTGGTTGAGCCCTATCAAGGCAGAACCAGAGTGGACAGGCAGAAATGGGCCAGGGTAGAGTGTCAGCCCAGAGACAACCCAGTTGGGATCCTAGGAACAGCGGTAGCTGTTTTCATGTGATCAGCTGGGGCATCTGCCGGACTCAATTTTCCAAAGCTCTCACTGAGGGTCTTGATGTGGCCCAGGATGGTTAGACATGCAGCTCAACACAAAATCCTGTGCTTAAACATTTTAAGTATTTTTTTAAAGACCTTTATTTATTGTGTGGTTATCAAACATCGATGTTTGTAAGTGATAATGCGTCAAAATGTCAAAAGGCCATGACATGGGTAAAAAAGAGATGGCTCCATGGGTAGCCTGTCCCACAAGTTTGGATCCTGGGAACCTGGGTCAAAAAGCTGGAAAGGTGTGTAGCTGCCTGCAATTCCAGCACTCACACAGGAGGCGGAGCAGGATGGCAGGACAAGCTGGCCTCCTAGACTAGGCTGAACTGTGGGCTCCAGGCACAGAGAGACTGCCTCAAGAAAAGGTGGAAGGCCACAGAGGGGATAACAGATGTCAACCTCAGGCTTCCACACGTGCTGGTGCACTTGCACACACGTGCCTACATACACACAAACAGGCATACACATGTACACACAAGCCACACACTAAGAGCTATGACATAGGACATACTGGCAACATACGTGGTTCTTCAACTGATAGAAAGGGTCAAGTAAGTGGAGAGTGGCTCTTGAGTAGAGCTAAGGCAGAATGCAGGATCCAAGAGCCCCTCATTTTCAGGGTCATCCTCTCACCACAGCTGGCTCTGATATGGCCACTGATGGTGTTTCCAAATGGAGAGACCATTGTTACCCTTTCCCCAGCAGCCCTAGGAGCTGGGAGTATGGGAGCTTTTCAGGGAAAAACTAGCTAGAGAAACCTGCCTTGGCCACAGATCATGAGGTGGTCTTGCCTATTACATTTCTTGCATCAGAGCAGGATGAGTGCCTGGGAATTCTGAGAAAGCTCTAGGTACATGCTTGGGCTATTTGCAGTCTTTCCAGCCTGCCAGCACTCTAGTGAGGACACAACTGTGGACCACGGTTTGCCCCTAGTCTGCATCGTTGATCTCCATAGTGAGGCTTTTCAGATTGGCTGGCCAGCTTGAGGGCTTAACTTAGGTAGTGGGTTGAAAAGGCCCCGATGCCCCTAACTTCTGGTCAGACTACAACTAACCAGGCAGAATTTTCAGGCTATGGTTTGAATTGAGTTTGAATCCAGGCCCTTCCTTCAGGAGCCCTGGAATGTGTTTCTTCCCCTTGCTGCAGATGAGGCTGTGACAGATATCCCTGGGGTCCTCCAGGAACTAGAATTCTATGGAGCAGCCTTCTCAGATTTTATCTGCATTCAGGAAGGTCCTGAGCCTTTAAAAATGGTGCCTGGCAGGTAGATTTATCTCCTAATTTCTCCCAGCTGGCAGCTTTTACTGCAACTGTTTTTTACGTGAAGGGGGAAAACTGGCCTGCCCTTATCTCAGACTCCCACGACACTGCTGGTGGAGTGTCCTCCGAAGTGACAGTCAGGTCCCTAGACCTCCCTCACACATTAGCATGCACAACACTCTGGGAAGGAGCTGATGGAGACTCATTCCCCCTCTGGCTGCAGTAGAACAGAAGATACCAAAGTAATAACTATTTCTCCTGGGGATTTGGAAGAAATGCTCTGTTCTATTCAAAAGCATCATTGGTAGCAGTAGCACCTTTGCCAGCTATCACCCAGCTGTGCAGTGCTGCCCTCTTCTGGTCAGCACTGGGCTGTGGCGTGCTGCCCCCCCCCCTTTTGGTCAGCATTGGGCTGTGGAGTGCTGCCCCCTTCTGGTCTGTCACCGATGCTGGAGCCGATTCTTGGCCTGTCCTCTGCAGCTGGCAACCAACTGGTTGGAGGTTAGAAGCTTTTCCATGAAATAAGATGCATCTGTCTCCTCAGGCTCAGAGCACCTATGTGTTTAAAAAGAGATCTATCTATCTATCTATCTATCTATCTATCTATCTACCTACCTATCACCTACGTATGTATGTATGTATCTATCTATTCATTATGTATGTATGTGATAGGATCTCACTATAAAGATCAGGCTAGCCTTAAACTCAGAGATCACCCACCTCTACCTGCAGAGTTTCGTGATTAAAGGTGTGCACCATGATTTCTGGCTAAATTAGTATCTTTTTAAAAAGCAATGCTGCTTTCAGACATCTTATTTGGCAGCCATCGTGGCACAGGCCTTTAATCCGAGCACTTGAGGCAGAGGCAGGCTGATCTCTGTTGAGTTCCAGCCTGTGAGCCTAGTCTACATAGTAAGTTCTAGGTGTAATACCCTCTCAAAACAAACAAAAAACCTGGTAGAATTTCAGAGAATCCATATGGACATGGGTTAAATAAAATGAAAGGAAAAAATATTTTGTGTATGTAGCACTGTGAGGGTATGCTGTATATGTAGAGGTACCTGAGGTGGGTAGAAGAGGGCATCAGATCCTCGGGAACTGGAGTTACAGACAGTTGTGAGCCACCTACATGTCTACTGGGAATGGGATTAGGGTCCTCTCAAGAGCCATCTTTCCAGGCCCTGAACAGTGCAGTTTGATGTTCTGAACTTCAGATGTATTTGGATTTTTGTGCTTGTACATTGACAAAAAGCATCTTTCAAATTAATGCTAGGGATCCAACTCAACCCCAAGGTGCACGTAACCCATGTGCTCTTGTCGCCCACCCTTTATAGTGAGGTGATGGTAACATGATGGAGGAAGGTCATTGGTTAAAAAAATAAAGAAACTGCTTGGCTGGCCCTCATAGGTTAAAACATAGGTGGGAGGAGTAAACAGAACAGAATGCTGGGAGGAAGAGGAAGTGAGCTCAGACTCGACAGCTCTGCTCTGGAGCAGAGACGCCATGCTCCCATCTCCAGGGTTTACGCGAGAGCTCTGCTCTCTGAGGCACACGCAATGAAGCTCCGACCCAGGATGGACGTAGGCTAGAATCTCCCTGGTAAGCCACTTCGTGGGCTACACTAGAAATGGGCTAGTCCAGGTGCGAGAGTTAGCCTAGAAGAGGCTAGATAGAAATGGGCCAAACAGTGTTTAAATGAATACAGTTTGTGTGTTGTTATTTTGGGCATAAGCTAGCTAGGCGGCTGGGGTGCTGGGGATGCAGCCCCGCTGCTCCGATTACTACAGTAACAGAGCACGTGTCACTCAGTATTCTACTGGCAGGTGAGCAGTGAGGGGGAAGGTGGGTTGGTCTGGAGGAGGGGCAGGAACGAGCCCGGATCAGTGTGACTGTGTCTGGAGCTGTGGATGATACCCATGTGACTGGAAGGTTGCAAGAGTGGGCTGTAAGGTAAAATACCCACACTAAAGGTTTCCTGAAAGACAGACGCAGGGGTTAAATGTTTATTTAAAAGAGTTCTGTGCTGGCTGCCAAGCCTGTTAACCTGAGTTTGATCTCTGGAACTCACATGGTAGGAGAGAGTGGACTCCCACAAGCTGCCTTCTGACCTCCACACATGTGGCATGAACAATAACCATCCCCCCAATAAATAAATAGATGTTAAGAAATTTTACAATCAAGTACAAGGCAGCTTCAATGACTGACTCCTCATCAGTATACTTTGTTCATGTGCTGGTCCCGCAGAAAGCGGGAAAATTGAACTGGTGGTCTCTGGGGCCTTGGAAGCAGGTTATCCTTCTGTTTTGGTTTGCATCCTAGTCCATGGGAAGAGTCCATCAGATTCTCATGGAGGACTTCTGGGAACCCCTAACCTTAGCAAATCCAAATTGAAACATTAATGTGATTTATTGCAGTGGATGATCTTTTCAAGGAAGCGGGCATCGAACCAAATGGCCAAGTGAAATATGACACATTTATCCAGCGGATCACCCTTCCTGTGCAAGACTACTGAGAGAGCTGAGGTCCAGGAAGAAGAGGATGAGAGCTCCGGGGCCTGAAAACCTAGACTATTTTTTAAAAGGGAAATCTAGAGATGGCAAACATGGCAGTAAGACCACATTGCAGGGGATTAGTACCAATAAATGATGTAGCCATGGTACTCCTGTAATAAGTCCGTATTGATTTTAGTACTAACATTAGTCTAGCCCTCTGCAGCACGGAAAGGCCTATGATTTGCAGTCAGGTTTGTGTGCCAATGCGGGCTCTGCAATTTCATTACCCTCACCTTGGGTAGACCATTGTGCTTCTCAAAGCCTTTGGATCTCACAAGGATGATTATGATTTGAAAATGGTTGGCGACTTGGGAGCATGTGGAATTGGTGTTTCCATGGTAGTGTTTCTTCCAAAAAGCAAAACAAACAAACCAGTCTTCTAGAAGACCAGTCTACTTTTGGGTACAAGAACTACCTTTGGCATTTCCAAGAGAAGGCTAGAGTTGGCTGGGAACAAACAATAAGCAGAGTGTCTGTACACGCATGCACATATAGAGAGCAACGAGCACAGACACACACAGAAAACCACAAGCAATGTGCACACAGACGCAGAGCAACAAGCATAAGGTATGTACACACAGGCACAGCAACGAGCACAGAGCATGCACACACACTTAACACACCATTCCTTACAGCTCTACAAGCCCATCGATAAATCCTCATTCCATTTCGCCCAGCACACAAAGTGCAGGATGCTCTTTCATAAACAGGGATAAAGTGGAAACATACACTGGAGTGAGTGTTAAGTGTGGGATCAGCTGAGTAGTGGCAGGTGATCCAACTTTATATTCCACACCAAAGGAAGTGGGGGGCCTGGCCCCTTCAGAGGCCTTGAAGAGTTAAGCAACATCTCTGATGTTCCTGGAAACATTTGCTGAAGCTGTGCCCTGGGCTATTGTTAGGTTGCAGGAACCAGGATGGTTTGCTCAAGTGACCTGGGGTAACCACAACTTTAAGTCATTTTCTTGGAACTACCAGGATAAGGGGATATACCAGGTCATGTCCCGATCTGAGAGGCCTTGAAATCAGAGTTGGAACCACCTCTTCACCTAGAGTTCCTCTTGTGACATACCAACATGGGTGGAGTGTAGAACTCTGAACATGGAGACCTTCAATCCTTTGTGTTAGGACTGGTTGTGGCTTTTTTCCTTAGTGAAAACAGAAAGACATATCAAGACATAGGTGTCTCCTGGGAAGTTTGACCAGACACATATTTTACTAAAGACTAGGCTCTGGGAATACTCCAGAGGACCAAACAGTGTCAGTCTTGATTCAGCTACCTCACATATGCTGTATGGCTCAAACCAAACAGAAGACTTGAGAAAGGAAGGCCTCATTTTCCTGAAAGTAGACACTATGTGTTCCCTGAGCAGCTTGAATATAGGCAACCTGGCAGATTTCTTTAATACAAAAAATATGCTAGATAATAGTGGCACACGCCTTCAGAGGATTTTGGTCTGTGGCCAACATGATATACAAAGCAAAAGTCTATCTGGGAAACACAAAGAAAAAAAAATAAGAATTTCTGGGCTGTTCAAGGGCGCCTGGAAAGAAGCCAGAGCAACACATAGTAAAAGTCTTCATGACTCCCATGGCAAGTCTTCCTGGGGGAGGCTGGGCTTCCAAAGAGAAGGCCTATTTCTCTACCAGATGGGAAGGTTCCAGACCCAACACCTGACTTCAGCCATAGATTCAGAGGCACATCTGCTTGCCAGTCTAAAATACCGAAGACCTGACAGGTGCTCCGTGCTGATGCTGTACGTGGGACAGGGGGATGAAAAGTCTACCCTACCTTTACAGAAGAGGTATCTCCCCAATGTGTTCTGAAGCCTGTCAGCAACTGTGTTTTTTTTTTGTTTGTTTATTTGTTTTCTTTTGTTTGGTTGGTTTGTTTTTCGAGACAAGGTTTCTCTGTGTATTAGATGTCCTGGAACTTTCTCTGTAGACCAGGCCAGCCTCAAACTCACAGAAATCTGCTTGCCTTTGCCTTGCAAGTGTTGGGATTAAAGGTGTGCGCCACCATATCCTGCCTGTGGTGTAGATTTAAAGCATGTTTTCTGAATCATATTTGGCTGAGTGGAATCTCCAGCACAGCTTGCAAAGAGCACACGGCTAATGGGTGGTCTGCATCACCTGGGCTGACTTTCCCCACTCAATGCTCTAGTCATGGTGAGCTCAAACTCCTGAAGCCGGATTTACACAGCCATATCAGGAGGCTGTTGCTTCAGGGTCCCCATGTGTGCATTTTTCAAATTCCAACAGGTTTACCTAGCACCGGGCTTGCTCACCATAAAGAGTGGAGAGGCCCAGCAGATAGACAACAAGTACCTTTAAAATTTAGTGCTGTGGTTCATTACAGAGCTAGCTGTATTCCAGTAAGGAAGGTCAAAGCATGATGTAGAGCTATCAGTTACTTACTTGTCATGCTCTGAAACCTCTAGATTTCAGGGGCCCTGGGAGCACATTGCACCAGCACTTTTCTTATGGGGACTGTTCCTTTATAGACCCAGTAGTAGTATTTTACAGAACACAAATTAACTGAAGCCTTTTCTTTTATTACATCTAAAGAGCTCTACATAAACAGGTAACATTCAATAGGGAAACAACTTTTCTCCAATGCATGTAATAAATATTTTCACTTGGTACTTTTATACAAACTGACATTGGTCTACTATACATTTTTAAAAGCCATTTTACTGGTTTGGCATGCGGTATGGAAATTCTAAGAGAGAAAGTTTTAAGGCAATGAATCACAGATTTAAGTTCATGGAATTTATGGTAACTTTTATCTATTTATATACATTTCCCCTTTGTTAATAAAACAGCAGCAGCACACTCTGGGACCACCAGATATTCTCCCTCCCTCTTTGAAATCTACGCTTTGTGTTTAATTAAAAACAAAACCAAAACAAACAGAATGCAATGTGTATCCATAAAGCAAAGTTCTTACCAAAATAAATTCAAATGTGCTTTTAAGAGTCCTGAAGATCCTGAAAGTTTTATGTACTTAAAATTCAAACTGCTTTAAAAACAAGGTTATTTCTACATGTATCCATTTACAATTGGGATATATTTTCACTCAGTTTCATACACTTGTCCTCAAAGAAAAATTGGCAGAAACACTTTCCACTTTTCAAAACTTAGGTGATTCTTTAAGTCAGTAATGTAGATGTATAATACCTAAATTAGCAAAGGAAAACTTTGGTCAACCAAGTATGATGCATGGTTTTTTATTTAAAAAATGTGTTCAGTAATACTTATGTAGTAAATTAAAAGCCACCCCTACCCTGCTAGTTGAACAGCTACTTTTCTGATGATGTGTGCTTACAGATAGATGGGGCACACACAGTACTATACAGAGCACATGTGAACATGCTAGTAAGAAAGACTAAGGAAGGGGGTTCCTAGCAACTTGCTGAAAGATACTGAGAACAGTATTTGTCCACAGCCTATCAACATTGGCAGGGCTGTGGAATGAGGGTGGGCTAAGGAAAAGCAACAAAAAGAGATGGAGTGACCATGCGCTTTTTCTTGTTAATGTAGGAGACAAAGCAGTGCGTGACTAATAATTACTAAAGATCGTGAAAGTCCGTGACTGAACTTAACCATGTGTAATGTTTTAGGAAGTCAACAAATGAAGAAATAAACTCTTTTTGACGTGGAACGAGCTAACATGACCAAAGCCATGAACATATATTTCTCACTGTTACCCACTCTCCCCTTAGGTTGATACAATGCAGGACATGGAAGGAAAGTGACCATTCCTCCACAACTGGGCTGAAGAATGCAGAGGACTGGTTTTTCAACTGGATCGTTCTAAGTTTGTAATTCAGCATCAGACACAAAAACTGCGATCAGAATCCTAAAACCACTAACAAGCTAAAAAAAAAAATCCAAAAACAAGGAAAACTATTCATTTCATCTCAGATAGTTGAAATAACAAAAATGTTTACTATTGCAATGCTAACAGAAATAGCCACAATTTTATTGATTCCTACTCTAATCTCAACTTAGACACAAATTAAGACCTTATCTGAAATGAGCCTAAGTTAATATAGCACTGAAAAAAAAAAATCAAACGTGTACTCACCACACCCGATAAAATTTAACAACGTAACCATTTCTGGTTTGAACTGACAACAAATGCCTTGTTTTATTGCGGATTGTTTTGTGACTAACACAGCCGTTTCTGTGTGGAACACACATGCGCAGGGGAAGACGATGTTACTCACACACACTTGTTTATAAATACATATATACACACACACATATACATATCAACACCAACTTTTTCAAAATTCAAGTTGACAGTTTAGTAGCAGAGACGCTATAAAAACATATTTTTAGATGCCACACTGTCATGTGAACCATTCACTTTATCATACAACTGAAGATACAGCAATCTTGACTTCTACCTGCATTAATATAGGTCCTTCGTTACTGATGCAAGGTTTGAAAACAAGTTTACTATACACAAAGGAGGTCCTTCAACTATGAGAACACGAAGTTGTAACATAAAAAGCCAGTCTGGGAACTGGATGGTGTGCCCTGTCCTCTCTGCTGATAAACCCGTGCCCATCTTTCTTCACTGTAAGAGCACTGCATTTTCTCTGATGACTCTCAAGTACGAGAAGCACTTTTTCCTTCCTTTGACCCTTGATCATTTCCTGAAGAAAATTTTAATATATTTACATATTCTGCTATTCAGAGTAGGTAAGACCAAGTAGATATGACTGACTGATTCTTGAATTAAAAAAATAATGGCTTCCTATGTCATACTTGTCATTAAAAGCTGAGTAAAAACAAACAAGGCTAAGAAAAGAAGTATATTTAGAACCACAGAAACAAAATAACTAAGGTTATTGTTGAGTTTCAACTGTTCATCAAACAGATTTGCTACAGATCCACATGTGGGCTGCACTGTACTGTCAACTTTAGGGTAACTGACTTCTTTCTTTTTTGAGGTGGTACAATGCCCTCTGCCAGTTGCACATGATACCCATACCCCACAGGGCTTCCAGGGCTCTTTCACATCCCACTTTGGTATGAAGATTCTCAAAAACTTGTTACCCTGTGACCAAAATGCAGGTACTCACAGATTTGGCTTACATACAAAATACTGGCAATTCCGATTCAGAATCCACACAAGCGTATCGTCGTTCACAGGCCTGCCCTCAGACTGCCTATCCAGGCAGCTTCTACTCCAACACTTCTAGGAAACACACTCTTAGGGGGCACACGGCAGATCACAGAGAACCTGTGATGGCGAACACGCACTGGGAGAGCTGAGAAAGATGCTTATGTTAAAGTTCAAGACCTCTGAAACATTTTGAAAAAAGCAGGCAACTGATATTAACTAAATGCCAACAGGAGGGGAGGGGACAGTGATGACAGAACAGTACACTCAGGCACACACTGAAAACACACACACCCACGAGCTATGTCCTGCAAACAAAGGGAGTGCAGTGGGACAGGTGAGATTATAACTTAAGGCTGGCAAAATCCACGCATACATAAACAGACTCCAAGTCTGTTGCTTTGAAACAATGGAAATCAAAACTATCCCAACCCCCTCCCTACAACAAAGCCCATGATTTAAAACTTCATACATGCAATTCTGTTTCTGTTATTGCAAGTAAGATAATGCCATTGAAGTAAAATAAAACCCAAACCAGAGGACAAATGGTGAAAAAGTCTTCAGAATCCAGAAAAAAATGAACCGAAGGAGGTTTGTGGGTGCTTGCTTTTTCTTTTCTTTCCTTCCTTTTTTTTTTTTTTTAAAACAAGTGTTTTATCAGACAGGCAGTCTTAGATTTATATACAAAAGTAAAACTGAAAATATAGTTTTGTTCTCTGTACATTTCTTTTAATTTTTTTCCCTAAAAAAAGGAAAAAAAACCACGCTTGTGTACTTTTCTAAACAAGATAAGGTAAAACAGAGCACAGAGTTCTCTTCTGCCAAGTCATTTAATCTGGGACAGGGTGGGAGCAGCAGGACGAGGGCGTCAGTCCAATGAGATAATGTCTGGTATGATGCCAAAGATGGACGCCGTGTCTGCACTGCTCCTGCTGGCCATGCCATGGCCATGGCTCTCCCTCAGACTGTTGGAAGACACAAGGCTGCTGTTGCTGCCACTACTGCTTCCGTTGGTGGCTGGCAAAGAAGTGCTTCCTCCAGCACTTAGCTGATCGAGAAACATCTGCGAGGAGGTATACGGGAAAAAGCGGGAGGAGTGCAGGAGGTCCTGGTCATCTGAGACCGCTGCTGCTGCTGCGGCAAGCAGGGAGGTGTTGTAATGCTAGGAGGGACCAGAGACAAAACACTCTCGTTACAATCAGATGCACCTCTGTACTCTTCTCAGCAGAGTAAGTCCCAAGTTAAGATATCCTGAGTGTCTGGCTCCTCAAGTAACAACACATTCTGCAGTGAAATGACTGGTCACTGATACTGAGAGCGCTTTGGCATGGTATCTGAAACTGGAATAACACTTTTGATTGTGTTGTGTGTGTATTTTAGTTTGCATTGCACGCAGTTCTTAAAACTCTATTTCTGAGATGTTCAGAAGCAGTAGGAAGGAGGGCAGCTTCCCCTCTCAAGATACATCCCGCATTCCCACTGACAAGTTCATCCTGAGAATTGCATCATGAAGAAGCTCAGCTGCTATCGTGCTCAGGCTGCGGCTCTGTGCAGCCTGTCACTGCTTCAGCACTGCAGGCACTGGGCAGTGTTTGTGCACATGAGCAGGTCTGAGTTGGAAAAGGCAGGGAGAACTTGCTGTAAAAGATAAGCAATGTCACACTTCTGCAGGGCACTCCCATAGTGGGGCGTGTGGAGCTGCAAGTCTCTGGGTCAGGGACTGCTGCCTGCTGAGTGGCTGTGAAGGCTGAGGACTACTGTGGGCTTTACCAATACTCTATGCTTAGGTTACTCTACATTTGTTTAAAAAAAAAAATCCCAAAGCTCGCCTTTTAATTAATTGGTTACATAACAATTTTACTTTGTTTTTAAGCTTTTTCATTTTTTAAAGATTTTATAACATGTACTAATTATACACAATCATAGGTTTCATTATAACATCTTCACATGTAGATAATGTCTTTTGATTATAATTACCCTCTACTGCTTTCCCCTATTTCTCTCCCTCTACCTGATCCTTGCCTCTTCTCAATAGTCTACCTTCAGTGTGTGTCTCAGTGAGTTACTCAGTTACAGAGTATGAACAACTTACCAGCGGCTAACCACTGAAGAAAAAAACATCTCCCCACTAAAAGTATCTGCCTAGAGATCTTCACAGAGGTTGGGGCTTCCTAAACACTCCCAACTATTTTACTCTTTATAATAATACTTAAACATGAATAGACCACATGGCTGTGCAAAAACATTCTTTCATCATATCTATACCCTATGAGATCTAATTATGTATTTTGCTAAAAAGGTGTGTGTGTGTGTGTGTGTGTGTGTGTGTGTGTGTGTGTGTGTGTATTCATTCATAGGTCTACACAGGCCAGGGGTCAGTGCCACTGTCTTCTAGGCACAACTTGTTTCCTGGAAGGTTTTCAGGGCAGGGGAAATGCCTGCTTCTCCACTAGAGCTCATCCTAAGTAGGTGCCATTCTTCAGAAGCATGCTGTGGTGCTTTGCTTGGTCTGTCCCTTTTCATCGAAGATGTGCTGTGAAGAGTACCACAAACACTCCCCTTTTCTGATATTCATGTTCTAAAGTATCTCATCTGAAGGGGACTGCTGATGTCTGTGCAAGTTCCACTAGCTCCTTTATGAAACTTAGTGGGGACTCCTTCTGTCTCTTGCAGTTCCCTTTGCTCCTGCCTGCTTTTCAGTTCCAAGCTTTCACAGCAGCTTCCTTAGGAAGCTCTCTGGGGCTCCTCAGTGTCACATACACGATCTTGGAGTTAGTGGCCACCACAACTACAACATTGCTTTGCAACCTCTTCATCAAAAGCAAATCCCCTGCAGTCAGCAGTAATCGCTCGAGTGCCTACACAAGGCTACTGCACAGCACTGGTGCTATTATCCGTCCACACTCACAGGCTTGTCTCCTCAGTGTTCCTGTTGCAGCAGGAGCCTGGACAAAGGTCCTACTCAGGCAGCAGGTCCCAAAAGGCCACTAAATCTCCTTAATCAGCCAGCAAGGTAGCTCAGCAGATAAAGGAGCTTGCTATAGAGCCTGAATACTTGAGTTCAACAGTTGAAACCCACACAGAGGTGGAGAAAACTGACTCCATACAGCTGTCCTTTGACTTCTAAACATACATTGTGTTACATATACAACCATGGATACAATAGTAATAAAAATTAAAAATTTATATACAGAGAGGGGCCACAGAGCAGCTGGAGGAGGGAAAGGGATGGGTCAAAATAATGTAAATACAGTATACTCATGTATGAAATCCTCAAAAAAATTTTTAAAAATCTCCTTGATCTATTTCTATTGGTTGGGTCAGAGACATGGTGTTGGAACAAGACCACCACTGTGATACTGGGATAAAGGAGGATGTACATGAACACCATCACCAATGAACAACAACATCTTTCAAAGTTTGCTAATCTCCAATTAGTGCTCCAGCTTGCTGGCACGAAACTCAGAGGCATCTGGACAGTGGCTGGATCACTGCTTTGGCAGAGAGTGTCACAGTACCGAGCAGGATGTGCTTCTGCATCCTGGCCTTAATCCATGTCCTTAGCCATTTCTCTATTGCTGTAGTAGGCCTTTCTCAATCTGTGTTTGTCTCACTGTTTTCGATGAGACTTCTGTCACTTTGTTCTTGCTCTGCAAGTCTGTAGCTCTGGTGCAATGGGACAGTCTGACTGCTGAGTAACAGTCACTGACTTTCTCCTTCCACACTCCTTGATCTCTTTTAATCTTGCTTCCAGGTCACTAGATGTGGCCTTTTTAGCAAATGATTTTGTACGTTTAGGGTCTGAGATGAATAAAGCAACATGAGCTGAGACAAACATGGGAGTAGAGGAAGCAATCAGCTGCAGTAAATACAGTTTGAGGAAGCACAGCATGCTGTATAACTGAAAATCAGATCATTCACTATCACTGCATGCTGTATAACTGAAAATCAGATCATTCACTATCACTGTCTAGTACTTACGGACTGCACACAACTGTATGCTTTAAACATACCATTGGCAATGCAGTAGCACCACAGACTAATATACTATTATAATATACAACAGCTATGATGTCCTGGGCAACAGGACACTCTTGATACATGTGGCCAAGACTGAAATCCACTAATCACATGGTTCACAGGCCTGTGTCTTTATACAGCAGTATTGAGAAATCAACAGACAGACACTGCTTTTACCCTCTACTGGGGGTGGAGAGCAGTGATAAAGGATGGCTTTTATTTAAATTCTTACAGCCAGAGCAACACTGGCTACAGGTACTCTCCTTGCCAAGGAAATTTATTCTTTCTTCTGGCTATGTATTATAGCTTGATATTTTAATATACAATTAAAAAAACGGATTGTTTTCACATTAACATACCTGATTGTCTCCTGATAAGAAAGGAAAGAAATCTAATCCTGTGGGAAGAATTAAAAAAAAAACAAAAAAACAAACTTAGCTTGTAGGCAAAAAACAACATAAAGTAAAACTTTTCTAAACATCCCAGCACTTAAATCTTACATTCTATACACTCTGTTTTTTTTTTTTTTTTTTTTTTGCAGGGTGAGGTTGAATGTTTATTCAGGGGGTTATGGAGGAGGAAGGGTGAAGGGGGGGACAGAGAGAGAGAGAGAGAGAGAGAGAGAGAGAGAGAGAGAGAGAAGAGGAGAAAGGGACAGAGAAGGGGGAAGCAGAGAAGTGGGGAGAGAGGCAGAAAGGAAGCTGCCTCTCTGAGAGCAAGATGGAAAAGAGCCATTCTATACACTCTGAATTCATATTTAAACACAAGGAATGCTGGACATGTGGTGCACACCTTTCATCCAAACATTTACAGGAGGCAGAGGCTAGCCTGGTCTACATAAGCAACTTCCAGTCTAGCTAAGGTGATACCAAAAGATTCTTCAACAACAAAAACCCCACCAAAAGGAAAAAAAAAGTCACAAGAAGTTAAGTTGGGCGTTATATGGCATTTTCATCTGGCATTTTCATCTCTAAGCTATGAAGGATAAAGCCCAAGTTTGGCAATAAAGACCTTGCTTTTACTGATTCCTCACAAGTAAACAGTTTCATGTAGTTCAGGATGGTCACTGCACTCCATGACCATCCTGGGTGGGTGGGTGGGTGGGTGGTGGTATTGGTTTTTCAACAAAGAGTTTCTTTGTGTTAACAGAGTCCTAGCTGTCCTGGAGCTCGCTTTGCAGACTGTACTCACCTCAAACTCACAGAGATCTGCCTGCCTCTGCCTTCCCAGTGCTGGGAATAAAGGCGTGCACCACCATGCCTGGCTTGACTTTGAACTTCTTAATTGTGTCTTCACCTTTTAGTGCTGGGATGACAGGCACATGCCACTATGCTCAGTTTATCTGGTGCTGCAAGTCAAACCCATTGCTTTATGCATTCTTGCCAAGCATTCTATACACTGAGCTATGTCCCTAGCCCTTAGATTTCAATTTAATTTATTCTACAATAAATGCCTCTTGGGGTATTTCATACATTTGGTTTGATTTTACGGATGAAACTTTAAGAGGCCACCCAAGTTGTAGCAAAGCTTTTTATTCTCCTTCTCAAATGTGTTCACTTCCCATCATCTAAACCAGACTAGAACCCAAATGTGACTGTATGGCTAGGCATGATGACACATGCCTTTAATTCCAGCTTTTAGGTAGCAGAGGCAGGTGGAACTTCTACACAAAGAGATCCCGTCTTTAAAAACAAGTGTCCGGTGGCATCACAGAAAGCTCAGCCCTGGGGGCTGGAGAGATGGCTCAGAGGTTAAGAGCACTGACTGCTCTTCCAGAGGTCCTGAGTTCAATTCCCAGCAACCACATGATGGCTCACAACCATCTGTAATGAGATCTGGCGCCCTCTTCTGGTGTGTGGGAAGCAGAATGTTGTAAACATAATAAATAAATAAAATTAAAAAAAAAAAAAAAAAGAAAGCTCAGCCCTGACTCCTGGCTGCATTGTTTTACACTAGCCAGCACTACATAACAAGAACAAGAAAAGCAAGGGCCTCATGATGATGTTTAACCTTGACGTACACAAGCAATGCAATATTTTGGCAACTACTACTCCTACCCACACCAGAAGAGACTACAATATAAGGAATTACAAAATGTGTCTCAGTAGTGATGGATGTGTGCAAATAGCTAAAAAAAAAAAAAAAAAGCGGTTTAGGAAATCGCTGGGAGTGACCAGCCTCCAGGAAGTTAAATGACTAGTCCATAAGTCACTAAGTTATAAAGATACAACCCAGACTTGAAATTCTTTTTGAGATACAAATGAATATACTGGCATTTCAAACTACTTCTCTTAAAAAGGGTAAGGCTGGGTATGGTAGTTCATACCTGCAGGTGGATGGATATCTATGAGTTTGAAGTCAATCAGGACTACATAGAATGACTGTCTCAAAAGAGTAAGACAAAAAAAAAAAAAAAAGGATAAAGTTCAAAAGAACCAAAGTAAAAAATTTCAAATGTCTCAATTCATTACTATTATAGGGCGGGCAAGATTTCTCAGTGGGTAAAGGTGCTTGTCACCAAAGCTGAGTTTGATCCCTGAAATCCACATAGTAGATAGAGGGAATGAATTCCTGCAGGCTGTCTTCTGATCATCACATGTGTGCCATAGCATGATATGATGCAAGTCTAAAATCCTAGCTCTTGGGAGGCAGAGGTAGGAGGATGACAGCAACTTTGAGGCCAGTTTGGTGTGCTATATGGTGAGCACCAGGCTAACACCAGAGTTACACAGCAAGATCAAGTCTCACAATACAACTCAGCTACACATAGTGAGCATTAGGCGAAGCCATAATCAAAGAATAAAAGCCAGCATTCACCCCCACCAATAAAAGCCAGCATTCACCCCCACCAAATGGAAGGCCACATGCAAGAAGTGTTCCAGCAGTCCAAGGGACTGGGAAGCTCACAACACCTTAAAACCCCTGCCTCAGGATTCCCACAGCAGTGAGGGCAGGCTGCAGAGGAAGATGCCACCAAGATCCAGGACATTTGTTCCTGGGCTCCAAAGCCCCGTTCTCCCATCTCCATATCTCCCCTATATCTCTCATCCCCAGACTGCAGCCACACAGAGTGAAGGCATTCCTCAGTTTGTATGACAGCAGCAAAGGACCAGGGACTCACCTTGTAAGTCGTAAGGCATGGGTGTCATGTGGAAAGGGTGCCTGTAGTCCTGGATGAGGGAAGTGTTGATGTAGCTTGTATCTACAGCAGGAAGGCTGGGGGTACGGGACACAGGCGATGCTTGATGAGGAAGACTTAAAATTCTGAGGAAAAGAAATGTTTAGAGAATTTAATAGTCACTCTAACAGTTTAACAAATGAAATTGTATCCCACAATGAGCTCTACTTTTTATGATTAAAACATGAAAAGACAGTATAACAAAACCAAACAAACAAAAAGCAAAACAAATGGTAAGAAATAACTTGGCATGCAGTAGCATTTGCAAAGGCTGTAAGGTGAATCAGATAAATGCAATGGAATCACCATTCATAGTTCATACAGTCCTTAGAGAGGCACCCTCCTTTCTAAGAATGCAGAAACAATGCATAGCTGAGTCACCGTAACAGGACATGAGTGAGAGGTACCCACAACAAAGGAAACCGTGGACCTTTCAAAGTAGGTTCTGAAGGGGTAGATAGTGAGAAATCTAGGGATACTAGGATTGATGTGGGATTCCCCTCTATATGCTGTGAATACCATTGGTTAATAAACTGTCTTGGCCTGTGATAGGGTAAAAGAACAGAGCTAGGTGGTGGAGGTGGACGACTAAACTGAATGCTGGGAAAAGGAAGGCAGAGTCAGAGAGAAGCCATGGAGCCACTGCCAGACCCAGACATGCTGGAACTTTGCTGGTAGGCCATAACCTTGTGATGCACAAATTAATGGAGATGGGTTAAATTAAGATGTTAAGAGTTAACAAGTAAAAGCTAGAGCAAATGGGCCAAGCAGTGATTTAAATAATATGGTTTCTGTGTGATTATTTTGAGTCTGAGGCGCCAAGCAGCCCGGAACCAACAAGCAGCCTCCTTACAACAGTGCCGGAAAGTTTTACATTAACTTGACACATGCTAAAGTCATCTGAGAGGAGAGAGACTCAATTACTCAAGACTTCAGGCTGGGCTGTGGTGGCGCACGCCTTTAATCCCAAACCTTGGGGAGGCAGAGGCAGGCAGAGCTCTGTGAGTTTGAGGCCAGCCTGGTCTACAAATTAAATTCCAGGACAGTCAGAGATACACAGAGAAAACCTTGTCTCGAAAAACAATAAAAAAAAAAAACCCAAACAGAACAAAACAAAACAAGTCTTCATAAGACTGAGCTGCAGGTAATCCTGTATCCTGTAGGGCATTTTGTTAATTAATGATTTATAAGAAAGCAAGCTAAACAAACCACAAGAAGCAAGCCAGTAAGCAGCACCCCTCCATGGGCTCTGCATTAGCTTCTGCTTCCAGGTTCCTGTGCTGACTTTCTTTGATAAGAACAGTGATATGGAAGTATGGACAGTGATGTAGAAGTGGAAGCCAAACAAACCCTTTCCTTCCCAACTTGCTTTTGTCATGGTGTTTCATTACAGTAACAGAGACCTTGGCTAAGACACCCTGGTAAGGAAAACACAAATTGAGAAAACTAGGGGAATGCAACAAACTTGAGCACTGAGAAGAAAGCAGATTTATGAGCCTGCTGAGAGTGAACTCTGAGCAGTAACTTTGGTTCACTAAACGTCTAGCTTGGCTATCAGTACAGTTCAAATAACAGAGCCTTTGAAGGCAATCAAGGCAGCGAGACAAGGCAAAGTGTCCCAGAGTAAAAAGGAGGAAGAGAGGTTTTAAAGAGAGAGTTTACAACTAGAAAGGAAACAAAGGAACTCCAGAAAAAGCAGTGACACCTTCATAAACTAGAGGTCAAATCTTTCTCCTTATCTCCCTTAAGAAATAAGGAAGAAAGCCCAGTGGTAGTGCACGCCTTTAATCCCAGAACTCTGGAGGCAGAGGCTGGTGCATTTCTGTGAGTTCGAGACTAGCCTGGCCTACAGAGCTAGTTCCAGGTTGGCCAATGCTACACAGAAAAACCCTTTCTTGGCAGCGGGAGGGGAGAGGAAAAAGGAAAAAGGAATGAAGAACTGACTTTAAAAAGAAAATAGTTATGACAGTCCTAGGAAGGTTTATGCATCATTACATGTGATCCCAATCGTGTAAGGCTAACAGGCACAGAGGAAAATAAAGTAACAAGAAATGGAGGAATAGAGACTTCTTTCACTTTGCATGGGTGTGATGTATGCTAGTTTAAGTGCATAGGTGCTACAGCACACACACGGAGGGCAGAGTACAACCAACCCGACGTTTTGGTCCTTGCCTGTCTCTCACTGCTCAATGAGATGCATGACCAGCTACCTTATGAGCTCCCAGGGCTTCTCTTGTCTGTCTCCCTTCTTGATCCAATAGGGATGGAATCAGACCTGCAGACTACTGCACCTGGCTTACACTGGATCTAGGGATCTGAACTCAAGGTCATCATGCTTACACAGCAAGTATTTTATCCAATGAACGCCTCCATCCCCAGCCCTGGCTTTTGCCTCTAATACTCTACATGAAGTACTTCACAAAACACCAAGGTTAGATTTCCTGGAACAGAATCCTAATTATGAATATGTACTACACTTTTCTGAGTGGGATAGTAAGCATAAGATCTTTCAGGTGCTGCACAGAAGTGTTCCATGCAATGCAAATGTAAACCTCTTACACCCACAGAGAATGTCATATTCCTTAGCTGTGTCCTTTGCCTATGCTCAGGAGATTGCAACAGGAAGCAGTCAACTGCTAGTCTTTACAACATCCCAATCTAGCAAATGGTATGAAACTTCTGGGGAAATCAAACACGTCGCAAGATGCTGCAGTTCTTATCTCCTGGCTATGGGATGGCCACCTGTCTTTTAATTCTGTGACTGCTCTCAAGTGTATATTTCCATATTACAAAGCACAGCAGTGAACGATCTGCAGGGCTTAGTGTGCTAGCAGCTAGCTGCTGCTGTGAACACTCACAGTGCTGCGTAACCATTTTTTTCAAATTTAATTACACACACACACACACACACACACACACACACACACACACACACAGTGTTCTGCCAGAAGAGGGCACCAGATCTCATGACAGATGGTTGTGAGCCACCATGGGGTTGCTGGAAATTGAACTCATGGATCTCTAGAAGGGCAGGCAGTGTTCTCAACCGCTGAACCAGCTCTCCAGTCCTGCTAATCATCCTTTTAAAGATGCTAGAGACATTCAGGTTTTATCTATACAGCCATAGAGAAAGGCCTGCATTTGTAGAGCTGTATCTAGGCTCAATTCATCATGGGCAAAAAGTCAGGGAAGTAGTTAGTGCACATAATGTAATTTTCCAAACAAAATAAACAGAGCTATTTTGGGAGGAACAGTAAATATTCAAAGAAATATTAGATTTTTAAAGACTCTAAAGTTTTCTTGATTAAAAAAATATACTCAGATAGTAAAACTATTGCAGAGTTCACGTATGACTATTCTGAAGAGTAGAAAAAAGCCACACAATTAACCCGAGAGTATTACATACTTGTTTTAGAAAGTATCTTTTAATTTTGCAATTATGACACAAAAGAACGACAATACAATTTTCTCTTATATCTGTGTGTGTGTGTGGGTGGTTCTATGATTTCCTAACAGATATCCAGATCCAATGTTATCTTTTTTATTGTTCCTCATGTGTCATAGGATTTATGTATCACCTAAGCATATCTTCTGAGTCTCTAGGTTCCTTAGAACACTTACTACATTGAAATTGTTATGGTAACTTTTTTTTTTTTTTGAGATAGGCTGTCATCTAGTTCAGGCTGGCCCCAAACCAGTGGCAGTCCTACTACCCCTAGCCTTATTAGTGATGGAGTTAGAAAAACATGCTACCGATCTCCAGTTCCTGGGAAACAAAGGTAACATGTCTTTAAAACAGGACTACTGCCGGGCGATGGTGGCGCACGCCTTTAATCCCAGCACTCGGGAGGCAGAGGCAGGTGGATCTCTGTGAGTTCGAGACCAGCCTGGTCTACAGAGCTAACTCCAGGACAGGCTCCAAAGCCACAGAGAAACCCTGTCTAGAAAAACCAAAAACAAACAAACAAACAAAAAAAAAACCAGGACTACTATGAGGGAAAGCCCAAGTCATCTCAGATCTTTCCTGGCAGTTCACACACGTCTACAGCTAGCTTTAGTGATCAGGCACACTCAGCTCTATATTGTAAGAGTTCTACCTGAGTTAACTTTATAGCAAGTAGGTTCCAGATTTTAGCCAGTGTTCTAAACCCTACAAGCAGGCCAAAATGAAATCTAATAATTTTGTGGCTTCTGACCGGGCAGCAACTGTGAAAGGCATTCACAGTCCTTCCCTGTCTCCTACATCACCACTAAATAATAAAGGGTAAGTGCTGCTATGATCTTTCCAAAAAACTCTCTTGTGAAAGCTTGTTTGGTAAGTAGAGTAAAGGCTGCCAGATAAACCACTATGCTTGAGTGCAGAATGTAGACTGACTTTTCCCGGGATGTAGCATTCTTGAGGAATTAGAGTACTACACTACTCTAAGATATAAGGACATCATATCAGGACATGCTTCTGGGCCTAGAGAGATGCCTTAGTGATTAAGAGTGCTTGGTGCTCTTGGAGAGGACCTAAATTAAGTTCCCAACACCCACAAGATGGTTCTCTACTGCCTATAACTTGAGCTCTAAGAGATCTGATGCCACCTTCTGGTCGCCAGGGGTGCACATATGTACATACAGTTTTGGGTTTTTTGTTTGTTTGTTTTAAGGATAGTTCTGTTGTATACAGTGGTTCTTGATACACATCAGAATCACCAAAAGTTTTGTTTACATTCAACCAGTTTGTTTTGTTTTTTACAAAAGACTTCTTTTATGTCTGTGTGTGTGGAGTTCAGAAAACAACCTTCAGGAATTGGTTCTCTCCTTCCACCATGTGGGTCCCAGGATCAAAATTCAATTGATAGATTTAGTAGCAAGTGCCTTTGCTTGCTGAGCAATCTCACTAGTCCTCATTGAATCAATTTTTGATTAATATTGTAAATAGAATTACTCTTGGACTAGGTGTGGTGGTATACACCTTTAATCCCATTACTTGGGAAGGCAGAGGCAGATCTGCTATATAGAATGAGACCCCCATCTTCTCCCCCCCCCCAAATGATCTTTCTATGTGTCCTTTTCTCCTCTTTTGTATGTGGCCTTCCTTCTAGGCTATTTTTGCAGTCTTTATCCAATTTTAGCCTGGTGATAGCCATCTTGCTAGAGTGAGTACCACATGACAGACAGCTGAGCCACTAGTCTTTCTCCTATTGGATTTGTTCAGTGTACACAATATGCTGTGGGATGATGCTCTTGTACATCAAAGATTTGTCACTCATTGGTTTAATAAAACAATGATTGGCCAGTAGCCAGGCAGGAAGTATAAGCGGGGCAACCAGACTAAGAGAATTCTGGGAAGAGGAAAGGCAGAGAGTCTGTCACCAACCAGACACTATTTAGACACCCAAGAAGCAAGATGTGAGGTAACAAACCACAAACCTCGTGATAAAATATAAAATAATAGAAATGTGTTTATTTAAGATATAAGAGCTAGCTAGGAATACACCTGAACTGAACTGTTGGTCAAACAGTGTTGTAATTAATGTAGTTTTTGTGTGATTATTCGAGTCTGGATGGCTGGAGAACGAAAGCACAATCTTCGTTTACACAATGCATTTCTTCCTGGGAACTCAGACTGCTCTGCCATCCTGACCTTCATGGTGTCCTCACACAACTCAGACTTCCTCACCCTTTCGGGGGTGTGGACAGAACAGTGCACATCTGTCTCAGCTCTTGGGAAGGAGGGCAAGACTGGCCTTCCTCTGAATCCGAGGTAAGCAGCACTTACCCTTTATTATTTAGTGGTGATGTAGGAGACAGGGAAGGACAGGTCCTCTTGGCAGAGGGTTCTTCCTCTTCTTCATCTGATGAACTGTCTATGGTTAGGTCAATCACCTCGACTTTCTTGTTTTTATTTGAGGACTGGTTGTGGGAAGTCACCTGATGCTCCAATGTGGAGCTCAAGCATCCTGTGTGGGAATGATTAAAACACAAGACCTGTGTCAATTCTCTTTTCTCAGTGTCCCTGTAGATGAGCATGTCAGTTTAGAGTAGCAGCACTATTGTAGCCAGAGTTGAGAAGCAACAGTGGCTCTGTTCTACTCAGTTTAAAACTGCCACTTCTTATTGGTTGTTAATGAATTATTTTGAAAAACATTTTGAATTAGAATAATCAAAATGTACCTTATGGCTGGGTATGGTGGCGTACACCTTTAATCCCAGCACTCTAGAGGCAGGCGGATCTCTGTGAGTTCGAAACCAGCCTGGTCTACAAGAGCTAGTTCCAGGACAGGCTCCAAAACCACAGAGAAACCCTGTCTCGAAAAACCAAAAAAAAAAAAAAAAAAAAAAAAAAAAAAAAAAAAAAAAAAAAAAAGCTGGTTTAAAAGGAATCTATTCGGGGCTGGTGAGATGGCTCAGCGGTTAAGAGCACTGACTGCTCTTCCAGAGGACCCGGGTTCGATTCCCAGCACCCACATGGCAGCTCACAACTGTCTGAAAATATAGTTCCACGACACCTTCACACCAACGAACATAATAAAGTTAAATAAATAAATAAAAAATAAAATGTTTAAAAAAAAAAGGAATCTATTCGTAGACATTTAATTGATAACCTAACAATTACTGAGCCAATCATACTGCTCGGAATTTTCAAAAGTCTACATGTGTGAAAACCACGGTGCATCACAGCAGTGACCACCAGATCTGTGACAGCTACTCACCGTCAACTCCGTTGTAGGAGGCAGTAACTTCCTGCACTTCCTTTTTCGATCTCATGGGAGCCCACGAGCCGTCCTCCTTAAACTGTATTTCGTCACAGTCAGTACAGTATTTTAGGATTTCCATAAACAACCTAAACAGATAATCTGTCTTTAGTACAACAGTTTAAATAAAGACAAATGAAAAGCATGAATCTTAAAATACTTAAGATTTTCTGTTTTCTACAAGTAGTAATGGGGGAAAGAAAATAGAGCAGATAAATTACATTTGTTCTTAAAACCTAATGCTAAATAGGGAAAATAGTTACTCAGATTGTGTAACATTCATATAAAAGTGTCAGGTAACTTTGGAAAAAAACCTAACAACTTGAAAAGTTATTTAGTGTGTGCTGGATGGGTAGGTAGGTGCCACAGTGCATGTGTGGAAGTCTGAAGACAACTTGTAGGAGTTGGTTCTCTACTTCCACCAGGTGGGTTCTGGGGATCAAACACAGATTGTCAGTCTCGGCAAAAAGCCAGCACCTTTTCTCACTGAGCCACCTCAGTGGCCCCAAGATTTTTAAATATACAGATACATCCCAGTTCACAAAAACTGAGATGGTTAAGAAAAGATATCTAAAAACAAGATTCTCCATGGGAGTAAAAACATACACTAGTTATTTCTGAGTGGCGATTTTATATGTATTCAGTTTTCTTCTTAATACTATATACTTGCAACTTGCTCATAAAGTGTTACTTAATAAAATGAAGCTACACATATAAAACATACAACCACCTGGACAGTGGTGGTGGTGCATGTTTTTAACTCCAGCACTTGGGAGGCAGAGGCAGGCAATTCTCTGTGAGTTTGAGGCCAGCCTGTTTTATAGAGTAAGTTCCAGGACAGCCATGGGTACATAGAATTACTTGTCTCAAATAAATAAACAAATAAACAAAACAAAAAATAAATAAAATGCAACCAACCATTAAATCCAAATAAAGTAATATATTAACACTAAAAGAATAGGGTATATATGAAATTCATTGTGGCCAATTATATTATCTAGTTATAATGTTAAATGAAATCAAAAACTAAAAGTTATTAATAGCATATAATCAGAATTTATATAAATAAACCAGAAGTTATATCAAAAATGTCTTTTATTTTCTGTTCTTTCCATTTTTCAGAGAGAGAGAGAGAGAGAAAGAGAGATTTTATTCTAAGAAAGGAAAGAGCTAAGATATATACTATACAGAGCTGGTAAAATATTACTATTAATTTAAGTTTATAAGTTAGTTATTATTTTATTTCTGAAGAATCCAACTGGAAACAACACTACTTACTCATATTCTCCCAAGACTGACATCTTTAAAGCTCTGGGTTGTAAGTCTATTTATATATACATTCAATTGCTTGTATTATTCCCTTCAGGCTCTTATGCCTTCTATATACTATAAATAAACTGTCTTGTTTGAGTGTTTTACTGAAGAACACTGGAAATAATAGGAAGGCATTTTGCTTTTTCACAGTTCATTTCCTTGTTTCTTGTTCAGTGAAAAAAAGGCAAACAGAAACCTAAGGGAAGAGACAGACTCATGGCCAGATACCAATAGGTCAAACCCACAGAAAATCAATTTTAAGAACTGCTGATCACTGTAATGCAATGGTGAAGACAGAGAAAAGAAATACAAGATAAGGATAGAAACACAAGGAGCAGAACAAAGGGAGCCTCTATTAGCTGGCTGCCCTTTGCTGGGAGCTCTGACAGTGGAGAACAAGTTTTGATGGACAGGACAGAAGCCAGATCTAGTCTCTAGAAAAGTTGGCTAAAAGGTCCACTTTTAAAAGAGACCTTATTATTTACAAATTGTTTAAATTGTATGTGTTGGCTATGTTCATATAGAGTATGGAAAAGGGCATCAGATTCCCTGTTCTGGGAACTGAACCTGGGTGACCTATAAAACCAATATAGGCTCTTCACTGTTGAGCCATTTCTTTAGTTCCAAAAGCTCTTATCTATCTATCTATCTATCTATCTATCTATCTATCCATCCATCCATCTATCTATGAATGATGGATTTGAGTTAATCTATCTATCTATGAATGATGGATTTGAGTTAACCAGAACCTCATAATTTTATCATGATTTCTCCAAAACACTCCGTATGTCTTAGATATACTCAAAAGTATATGCATACTCTGTTTAGAACTACTGGTGCTTAAAATGGTAAACAACAGAAGGCACTGAAGGAAAAAGAAAATGCATGTGTTTTTAAAACAAGCTGAACATACACACATAAATGAAAAGTATTTATAATATTTAATTATTGATTTTTTCAATAATAAAAATCCTATCTTGAAATTTTTACCACTAGGTTTTATCTCAAACCTGATGGCAACAAACTCAGATAACAGAGGCTCATTTTAACACACAAAGAGGAATGCAAACATACATACCCATCGATAATAAGGTGTTCATATGGAGCCTTCTTATCACAGACAGGACAAACCCATGTTGGTTTTTTTTCATTCATTTGGATATAAAGGGTTGCATCAAAACACTGAAGGTGGGAACAGGTAAGTGCCCGACATGGAATTGTCAGCCGCATTTTCCCAAGCTTTAAGAGAGGAGAAAGTTCAAATATTAGTATCTGTTATTCAAACTTAAGTTTTAATGATAATTTACTAAAATAGAATGTGTATATATTCTGATTTAAAGCATGTTGTGTGCACAATTTCTACACCTAAGGCTCAGTGAACATCATGGAAGAGGGGGCAGAAAAACCGTCAGAGTCAGAGAAGCATGAAATCTGCCAACACTGTCTCCTAGAAAATGACAGGGAAGCTTCTCATCCACAATTCTGCACAACATGGCTGCCTGAACAGAACCCGCACCAACAGACATGCTAACACAGTACAGGGAAATCTTACAGGGTCCACTCCTAGACGAAGAACTGTATGTAGGTAACTGAATGATGCTGAGAGTAGGAGAAATAGTCTTCTCCAGGGATAAATCTAATTGGTTATCAGATACCAAAAGGCCAGCTCTGAAATTATGTACATATAAGTAACAATCTAACATATAAACAGAGCAGGTTGTATTTATATATATTTAGGAATATATTGCACAATTACAAGTATATACAATAATAACACTTAAAAGAAAAAGAAGCCATGATTTTGAAAGGGGGCAATGGAGGGGGTACCTGGGTGATTAGAAGGAAAGGGAAATGGGAAAATGTTGGGGTTTTGTTTGTTTGGTTGGTTTTGGTTTTTTGAGACAGAGTTTCTCTGTGTAGCTTTGGAACCTGTCCTGGAATTCACTCTGTAGACCAGGCTGGCCTTGAACTCAGAGATCCGCCTGCCTCTGTCTCCTGAGTGCTGGGATTAAAGGTGTGTACCACCACCGCCTGGCCGAAAATGTTATATTTTAATTTCAATAAATTTAAAATTTTAATATAAAAACATGCTGTATCTGTATTGTTTCTGTTTCAATACACTGGAAAAACATAAGACACATTTTTTTGAGAAACCTACTGGCAGGTTAAACACTACAGTTTATCTCTGAACATCAAAACAGTGATTATTTAGTCAACTACAAGGGCCATTTACTACCATCTATAGCACTCTACCACTGAGTTATATTCCCAGCCTTCTCTCACTCTCACATTCTAAATCAGTCTTTGATCTGAAAAAAAGAAGCATCTAATTAAACATTTAGAAAAAGGAGAGTCTTATTAACTCTGGCCAGTCATGGAGATCAGTAAAAACTCTAGCTTCATCTTTGAATGACTGCCTAGTTCACAGGATGAAGTCAAAGTCTAGTTCACAGGATGAAGTCAAAATCACCCATTTCCTCCTCAGTGTGAGGCATAGTGGCTGAGGACAGCTCGGAATAGAAAGCAGATGTTGTGTACTCTGTATTTCTCTCCTCAATAGGCATCATCACACAGCCAACAGCCCTGGGTCTCAAGTATTGCTAGACAATTCAGGGATATTTTTCTTGCCTCATAATTGTTGAGTTGACACAGGCTGACTCTATTCCACAAATGGACGTCTTCTTTGTCCTAAGCTGCTTGTTTGGGCCCAAGGTAGAAACTTTGCCTGTGCACCTGCACAAGGAGTGCTGTATCATGACCACTATAGGGTCCCCAAAAGTCTGTAATGGCCACAGAGCCTGTAAGCTTCTCACTTTCTATAATGGTATTATTATATTAAGTTCATGGAAAAAGATTTTCTGTATATATGTGAGTTAAAAGAGAAAAAGGTTCTTTCTTGGCTTGCAAAAATTTCAGGGAAACGTGTAATTTCCTGGTCTACCAAGAAAACTAACTGTCACAGGGCCCTAAATTATTGTTCTGGTACCAATGATATACTGTACTTCTAGGGCAAACACTTGACCTCTCTGAGCCTCCTTTTCTATCTGGAAAGTAGCACCACTTCCTCCTTACTTCCACCGGATGCAGTGATGAAGAATTTAAAAAGAACAATGGACACGTGATCAACTTAAAACAGGAGAATGTCCATTTATCATATCCAAAGACAGGAGAGGAAAGACTCAGAGTAAAATGAGGGTGCTCTTCTCCTGTGTCCCAGCTCTACCCTTGAGTAAGATTATACTATTTGTTTGTGTACCTTCTCCTAGAAACAAGTCAGACTCATGTCCTTGTCCCCAGCTGTGGAAAAGCACCTGCTATACTGTAGAATGCTAGTCTTGTATACTGATAAACTGTCAGCTGTGCATACTCCAGTCCAAAGAGAAATTCGTTATGCCTGAAAGATGTGACTGACAGCTGGGACTATAGGAAGAAAGGTATGTGAAAGGAAAGCCTTCGAGAACTACCTCTTTCAAGAGTAAATTCTATGACCTGTCTCTTGGATTTTGAAACCATCTTTCTTCCTGTTTTACTGTCTCCATGAAGCATCAGGAGGAGCCTACCAGCTCTGCAGCTGAGTTTAGGGTGCTGGTACTGAGTCCCCATAGGACTTTAAACCTATGGTTTCTTCACTTCATATTAAGCAACCAATAGGAATTTGCATTTCACAGTTAAGGTCTAATTTAAGATATAAAAATTGAATTTGGGACTGAGATAAAGACAACAGAACATTTGCCTAACATGTAAGGAAGTCCTGAGTTCCTGTACTGTGTGTAACTCACAGATTTGCACCTGGAATTCCAGCACTTCCGAGGTAGAAGCTGTTGACAATCATCATTGGACAGAATAGTGAGACTGAGGAAAGTCTGGACAATACAGTCCTTGGTTTCAAAAAACAAATGCCCCTCCCACTAAAAGTGTATTAAAATAAAAAGCTAATAATTTAATCCAGCACCATCAACTAGATCCTAACTTGGAAAATCTTGCTGGACTTAGCTAATGGCAAACAGGCAATAGTTTCTGCCAGAACAAATTTATTCTTTGTTTTTTTTCTTTCATGTGCTTATGGAAATCAAATTGTAAGAAGCAAATACAAGTTCAGTAAAAGGTGTCATGAAGCTCTTTAGTTAGCCCTTTGTGCACACAGGCAAGAAAACCATCCCAAGACTTTGTGGTGACCTTCAGCAACAAGGTGACCTACAGTCTGAAAGCAAACTGATAGGTAAACAGTACGAGTAAGTCATAGATGGCATAAGAAAGCAGAGGTTAATGTTCAAATAGATGGCCTTTTATTAACTATAACACAAATGCTACCTCAAAAGAATTATAAAATAATTCTTATGTGAAAAGTCTTCATATCTCTGAATTTTAAAATCAATCACTAAAGATTTAAGTGTCTGTCAGACAAACATTCATTATCTCTAACCTGAGTGCTGAGCAATTTAGTCTTTTATTTACAAAGTCCTCTTCTCTCATGGGACAAATGGATGTTTGCAACATCCACAGACAAACGTAAACAAGCCCCGCATGTTTTCTAGTTGAGGCTGACTTTACTCAATGGTGCTACAGCTCATAGTGCTGCATGAGAAAAAACTAAGTCTAAGTAAGTCTAAGCCAGCGTACACCAGCAATGTCACGACAAAGTGTACTTTTGCTTTATAAAAACAAAACATGCCGGGCGGTGGTGGCGCATGCCTTTAATCCCAGCACTCAGGAGGCAGAGGCAGAAGGATCTCTGGGAGTTCGAGGCCAGCCTGGTCTACAAGGCTAGTTCCGGGACAGGCACCAAAGCTACAGAGAAACCCTGTCTCGAAAAACAAAAAAACAAACAAAACAAAACAACAACAAAAACGGAAACATGACTTAAGAAAAAAAAAAACTAAGTTTTCTATACTAATAAATAATTATAAAATAAATTTCTAGTTTATTTTCTCTCTATAAACTCTAAATGTGCATTTGGGTTTGCAGGTCTGTTGCACAGCTCACATCTGACTTCTCAACACTTCCATCTCTGTTCTTAATAAATTAGAACAGACAATCCTCAAAGAACAAAGGCATTTTAATTATTTTTGTTGCCCTTAGCTAAATGGCACACAAATAACAGAAATTTATTCTGAGCTCTGCATATTAAAAAAGGGAAATAGAAATGCACAGTAAGATGGCATATTTACACGTTTCAAAGAACAAATCTCTTTTTATGATTCCATAAATTTGATATATAGATGAGTTATCACAACGGTATTTTATTTTTGAGAAAAAACATACCTAAAATATATGGTCTTGATGTTCCGGAATAACTGTAGGGAGGTATCTCTTTAGCCAGATAGGAACTCATAACATATTGTAATTATATATTATATATAGTAGGTTTTCTATAATCTGAATTCTGAAAGCAGATGCTAGTTTACAAGGAATTGCTAAAACTGTTGGAATTAATGGAAGAGGAGCACAGGGGACTTGAAACAAAAATTATAAGCTGGCTCACTAAATCAAGAAGTGTAAGAAGCAAAATGTGATCAACATTTCCTAGTAACATGGGAAAGCACCTGAAGCATAGAATGCGAAATCATTCCATGAATAAAACTGTCACCATATACCCTGGGCTGCTTCTTTACATGAAGACATTTTGTGTGACTGTTCAACATTTTATAAATATTACATATTAGTGCAGCTGTAAACACTTTCAAGATGGGAATGCAAAAAAACAAGACTCCTCTAGTGATTTAAGTGGGAAATGAAGCTTCTGTGTTTTTCTAAATTTATCAAATCCCCTCACCTGGGATTTTATAATGAAACAAAACAGCAAGAAACCATGAAAAGGGAAATAGGTTAAGTCAGGACTTGGAGGAAAAAATTATTGGTTTTGTTGTTGTTGTTTTTCGAGACAGGGTTTCTCTGTGTAGCCTTAGCTGTCCTGGAACTAGCTTTTGTAGACCAGACTGGCCTCAAACTCACAGAGATCTGCCTGTCTCTGCCTCCAGAGTGCTGGAATTAAAGGCATGCGCTACCACTGCCTGGCAAATTATTTTTTTCTCTCTCTTACCTTCTACTTTCCTGATCTTTAGCCAATTTTATGCTTCTTTAAAAAATTGATTGTTCTTTTATTTTTCAACTATTTCCCCATGTATTTATCAATTTATAAACAACAACAACAAACCTAGTTTCCTTTACAGGCTATATTTAGGGTATTATAACATTTATCTAGTTATTAAAGAACTTTTAGTAATAATAACCTGGCTGGACAGTAGTAGCATACTCAGGAGGCAGAGGCAGAGGCAGAGGACCTCTGAGTTTGAGGCCAGCCTGGTCCACAGCATGAGTTTCAGGACAGTCAAGGCTACATAGAAAAATCCTGTCTTGAAAAAATAAAACCCAACCTGACAATACTACTTTTCTGAGGAAAGCAGGTTATAAAGAGGACTTGGAAGGATGCCCTTCACAGAGCAGATGATAGGGCTTAGCAGCTCTTGCACTGTGTTTCCTCCATGGCCATTAAGGTGTGTAATGAGTAGGGATCCCAGCTTTAGGAAACATGTAAAGGATAGAACTGAAAATTAACCATACACCAATGACTTTATATTCAAGTCAAGGTTTAGTAAACAATACAAGGCTTAGACAAAGGACAAGTACCATATAATTTTTAAAAAACTTTTTGCTTCTTCAAGAACACAAGAACCACCATCATCTTAGGTTAGTGGGATCTCAATGTTGAAAACTTTCAGTATATTGCCTTTCTGAATATATTGAAATCCGGCAAATCAGAAAACACATGTGTCCTTTCATTCTTCATACATTTAAATAGTTAATCTGATTAATTATAGAATAAGAGATAATCAAAATGTCAATAATTTATTATTCATTTTCACCTTTCATATGAAGGCAATATTCAACTGCCATCCCTATGCTGGTAGGCCCAACTACAAATTAGGTATGAAATGAATTTCAACAACACATTTTTTTTTGCTTATAGGTTTAACACTTTGGTCAAATCTTATGATTTGATAATTGTTTCATTCAAATGACTATTTCTTATAATTCCCCTTTCTGGCTTATAAGTGAGCATTCTTAATTCTATAGGCATAAAGGAATTCAGTCAGGCACAACAGGATTTTCTCCTTTTCTCCTCTTCCCTGTTTTAAAAATTGAGGCAAGGTTTAGCTCAGCTGGCCTTGAACTCACGGTAATCAATCTGATTCAGCACTCCAACCCACCCCAAGTTCTGGGATTTGTATCACCAGGCTTGGTGCTCTCGTGCATGAAGAACGTGCGCATGCGAACGCGCATGTGTGTGGCACTTTAGAATTATTCAGCTCACAGTCTTATGTCTCAGTGTCTTTTCATTTTGATAAACTTTGACAAGTTTAGAGTGGGCAGATTCTAGAAGTAAGCAGAATTCTCATGCTCAGTACAAAGAATAAGAGTATATACCATTTTCAAAGGCAAGCATAAGCAAACACTTACTGGACACAGAAGCGAAACTCGTAGGCTGGTGGTAGCTATTTCACTGTCTGGATCTGCAGTTAATTTCTCTTTAACTGAAATGCATTGAAGAGAAAACAAACAGAACAAGTTTATTAAAGACATTATCAATATAACATATTTAAAAAGGAGCTTACAATCTGAAACCTAAATAACTCAAAAATAATCTACTCAATCATGTTCTCATCAACTGGCTGGACAGCTAAGAGCAGTCACACACTTTACACCCTTCAGAGGAAGTAAAGGAAGAAGAGCCTCACTCTATAACCCATCTGAAGCCCCTGCAGAGTGATGGGACTGCATCACAGCCCACAAAAATGCTCAACAGCAGTTTATGTAACCAGGGATGGCTAGCCCCTTTTAGTTATTATTCTAAGACACCAATGATTTTCTTTAAAATTTGATTAATTTGTATTCTTTTAAAGGAACGTAATAAAGAGCAATGATAAAAATAATTTATGTAAAGAAAAAGTCCGATTATTTTCTTTACCACCTAACTGAATCCTGCAGCTTACCCATAAACCCACTGTGTTGTCTTTAGTAAATCAATCTGCCTCTTTCAGTTTAATGCTACTTACAGTAAATCTGGAAGTCACACCAGATAATTTCTTAAAGTCTTTTCAGTTAAACTTCATACAATTCTCAAAAAAGGAGGCACCAATAATTTTACTTTTCATGGCTACTCTTTTATTATCCTCCAGTTTACTATAAAGGATTCTTTATAATTCCCATGCATGGTAGTTTGAATAAGAATGGTCCCCACAGGTTCATACAATTGAATGCTTTGTGACCAGGGAGTGACACCATTTAAGGATTAGGAGGTGTGGCCTTGTGGGGGAAGTGTGACACTGTGGGTGGGCTTTGAGGTTTCAAAAGCCCAAGCTAGGCCCAGTCTCTGCTTGTGGATCAGGATGTAGTTCTCAGCACCGCTGCAGCAAGTGCCTGCCTGTGTCCGGTCCCCCGCCAATACTTACACCCCCCCGCACCGGGCTCCTGCCATAATGACAATGGATACGCCTCTGAAACTGTAAGCAGCCCCCATTAAATGCTTCCTTTTATAAGAGTTGCCTTGGTCATGATGTCTCTTCACAGAAATAGAACACTGACTCAGACACCATGTGCAAACCTGTGGCAGCAGTTAACCTCTGCAGACAGCACCAACAACAGAAAACATAGTCAGGAAATGACCAGGGATAATATTCCAAAATTAGGGGCCTGAGGTGAAGTAGTTGTGAGCACAACCACCTACAGTTTCAGAGTTGTACAATAATTATAACAACACTGATAACTGAAGAAAACCCAGTGAGAGAAGGGCAAACAGATATGTAAATGTCTGGGCGCTGACTGCCATGAACAGAAACTAAGAAGCCAGTCTTTATGAAGTTGTGAGCACACACACAGTTTTGAATTTTTAGAAGGCCCAAGTTTTGGACAGTCTACTAAACTGATCTCTTACATTAGGGAATCTCAAGCAGAAATACATCTGAATTTCACCTGGACCATTCTAATTTACAACTGATCACTACAGTAGACTGGGGAAGAGGGACATGAATGGGTGGTTTAAAAAGCTCTACACAGATTCTGACACCAGACTAAGAAGTTATTTTGCAGACTAGAAATCTGAAGTTTTCCAAGTCTGACCTTCAAATTCCAAAGTCACAAAACCTTTGGATTTTAGTTTGGAAAGCAGAGTCATCAAAACACTATACTAACTAATACTAAATATAAATTAGGAATTCATGTGTTTGTCACTATTCACCCAACCTTAGCTAATCTTTCTTAATATAATTATCTTTCTTAATATCATTTGAAAGAATACTAATTTAATTAGTAGGGCAAAGTGACTTTGTAATCCCAGGAGGATTGCTATGAGTTCCAGGCCAGCCTGGACTACAGTATGAGACCCTGTTACAAAACAAAATAAAATCCCAATTAATAGTAACAACCCCCTCAAATCTCCACTCCTCTGTGACAACAGAAAATAAACATGAAAATAGAATCCAAATGTGATTCTTAGGGTGTCTGAGCCCATAAACTAGGTAAGGGAGGAGCTGCCCTCATTGTGATGGGACTATCCAACTAACTGTAAAGGGGAGCTGGGAAGTGAACAGGACAGAATGAAAAAACAAAAACCCCACTGGAATTTAGCTTTTGGATTTCAGTATTCATACCCGCATCCCAGAGCTCTGCAGCCATTGGCCCCAACTGGGAGTTACATCACTGGCCTATCTGAGTCTGTGGACTTAAACTCAACTATGCTTCCCTGCTTCTCCAGTTTGCAGCTGGCACACTGTGGGACTTCTCAGCCTCCATAGACATGTAAGCCTTATGTCTCCCAATCTTCCTATTTTTATCTCCCTGGTTCTTACTCACTCTAGAGGATCCTGAGTTAGACACTGTCTACTTTGCATGTCTTTACCATCCAGTCCAGCAGCACCCTCCTACACTGCAATGTTAACAGTGACTGTCTGAGCGTTGTGTAAACTTGCACTTAAATGCAGCAACAGCATAATATCAGCCTTCAAATCAAAATTCAGTGGTTAGGCAACAAACAGGAGGAAGAAGACACTGGGCCAGTAAGTCAGAATTCTGACTTGACAAGTCACTTCAATAACTTTTTCCATAAATGAGAATACTATCACAGCACTGGATAAAATGAGTTTGACTCAATGAAAGATGTCATAAAATACCTAATATTATAATTAATAAATGCTAGTACTTAAAATGATTTGCACGTTTCCTTTCTCTTGGAGATAGATGTTCTGAAATCATGTTTACAGATTTCTATTACAACAAGCAAACAGACAAAAATCTCCTTTTGTAGCAGACCAAATCATAGCCTTAAAATACCTCTTTTAAAAAGTGAGGTAACGTAGGTTCTGCTGCTCAGGCTGCGGGTTCAAATCTATTCCGCAATATATTGGCCATCTTTGATGCCATCTGGCAGCTCCTGAGGGAGAATGGCTAGCTGATCTCTGTACTGCAATATCAGAAGGAGCTGTGTGAACAAGTGTGTGCAGCACCAGCATGTGTCACACAGAAATCTCATTGACTGAGCTACCATGGCAGATGCTGACACAACCAGCCTTACAAAGGTAGTGGAATAATCTTCCAGGAGGCTGCTGTTAGGAGGAGTGACAAAATGGAACAAATCTCCTGAGAAAACGACAACACTTAACCAACTGAATATGGGTAAAAAGTCTGTGACTCTTTTTAAGCTGTGAAGAAAACTACTAGCTTTACCATATTCTTAATGGAAATCTGTTAGTAATAAAGCATATCCCACAATTGGGACTGAACCCAGGGCCTGTGCCTGCTGAGCAAGCAAGTTCTCTCCCATGGAGCTATATGCCCAGTCCTGCCCTGGTAAAGATACTACCAGGGTTTTGACTGGACTGAATCTCTTGATGAATCTGGGGAACTGGCATGAGTTGTGCTGAATCTTCTGCTCTCCTAACATCTGATGACATAGTTTGTCCATCTAACTTCAGTCTTCTGCTCTACTAACATCTGACATCATAGTCTGTCCATTAACTCAAGTCTTCTGCTGGGTTTCTCATAAGTTTTCAGCACCTATACCTTGCACATCTTTTATGCCACATGTCTCTAAGTATCCAAAATTTTCCTGTTACACATTAGCAATAAATACAGTTCAGTTACATGTATTGATCAGGAATTCACTGATTCATGTTATTTGTTCTAGCAGCTTCTTTAGAGATTCTTTGGATTTTTTTCTATGTAAATAATCTGCAAATAAAGGTAATAATTATTTATGCATCCTTAATCTTTATTTTATTTTTCTTTTCCTTGTTGAGCTGTGTAGGACCTCAGGGCAATGGTAGGCACCAACACTCTAACTTTATTCATAGTCTTACAAGATTCAAGTGTTTACCACTAACTAGGATACTTTTTTTTTTGTAAATGTTTGTATCACTGATGTAGTTCCTTTCTTGTTTCATTAATATTTTGCTGAGAGTTTTATCAGGAATAGATGTTAAATTTAGATAACTGGCTCTTTTGCATCATCTAAGGAGGTAGTAATTAAATAATTTTTCTTTTTCAGTTTTTCACAAAAAGTAAATTATAGATTAACTTTCCAATACTCAATAAACTTCCTGGAATACTATTTTTCATAACGGACTTAAAATAATAAAAATACCTCTGAAATAGAAAAAGGGGAGACTGTTTTCAAGGCTTGCTAAGAAGTCTCAGTAATTCCTGAAATAGATTCATATACCTATGGTCAACAAGTTTGTGACAAAAAGCCAAAGAAATTAAATGACGAAAAAATACTACTTTAAAGCAATATTGCTTGAACAGGTAGACACCTAAGAAGCAGGAAAAACAAACCTTTGTACCCTGCTAAAGACTACTGTCCTGTGATCTGTGGGAAGTTCTCTAGATATGGTTTTCTTGTTGTTACTATGATCTGCAGTGGTAAGAGTATTTTATGACTAAAGTTGTAACTAGTCATGTATAAAACTCATCTTGCTATTGGATCCATTTTTTGTTTTTTGCTTGTTTGTTTGTTTTTGAGACAGAGTTTCACTGTGTAGCCATGAAAATCCTGGAACTCACTCTATAAAACAGGCTGTCCTTGAACTCAATGGATTTGCCTGCCTCTGCCTCCAAAGTGCTAAGAGGAAAGGTTTACATCACTTTGCCCAGCTGGACTCCTATTCTTATGAGTTACTATTAGCTTTAGCAACATGAGGCTGCATTAAATAAATTGAAATATAATTTAATTTAAAATTCAGCGTCTTAGTTGTACTAGTCACATTGTAAGTGTTCAGTAGCATGTTGTTGGTAACTATCACATGACTGTTTCAATCATATACAATTATTTCAGACTGCCCTACTAGATGGTGCTATTCTGGGATATAAATGCTTGATTGCTCTCCTCCATTTTATCAGAATGTTTTAATTCAGTCTTTTAGAATTTTGGGGTGAAAACAACCAAACACATTAGGCTCAACAGAGGAGACAGAACATTTTGAAGTCTGATCTCTCTACACTTCCTTTCATCAGTTCATACCAGTCACTGAGTACAGACGCACATGCATGTGGAAAGCTGTGAGGAAGTCACAAATTTGCCGTCACAAACAGTAACAATAATTCAACAAAATGTGAGAGTTTACTGTGCGTTAAGGAACTATGTGAGGCAGTGAGAACTCTAAGAAGAATGAGATAAAAGCCAGCAGAAAAGATGCTTAGTGTGGTCCCTTCCAGACGATGGGCACCAAGAGACTCTGGAGGTGCTGGGAAACAAAGGACCACTAGAGTGAGGCAGTGAAGCATAGAGAACACTCGGAGGAGAGGGGTAATATGTTTTTGCAAAGTAAAATATAAGAAGAGTACTAAGAAAGTCACATCAGTATTGTATGTCATACTAATGAAGCTGGAGATTTTACTTCACTGGTGTCAGGGGTTCAGGAGATAACGAGAATGGTAAGATCAGATAAGTTAGTAAGTTAGGCATCCAGGAAAGAGGCAAGAAAAGCCAAGAAAGGGGTGGAATATATCATTTAGAACGAAGCTTCTAAAAATAAAGACAAGATTTAAGGATTTATATGAGGGCAATGACAGAAGACATATTTGAGAAAGGTTTAGGTTGTCAGTTTTAAATTCTTGATTCTGATGAAGTAGAACAATGTTTAGGTGAAGGTAGTCAGTTTATGCAATCTCAAATTGGAGGAGAGACCTGAATGGAGATTTATATTTGGGAGTTTGTACTAGTTTAAGCAGTACCAGTGGATGTGAAAAGCAGAACAAGCATGGAATCCCAGGGAACATTTACGATACACCCACATCTGCACCCCAGGGTCTCACTACATAGCCTTGGCTGATCTCTTAACTCACAGTCTACCTCTCCCTCCCCATGCTGGGGCCAATATGCCCAGCAAGGATGCTTCTCTCCAAGAGTCCCCTGAAGGAACGTGGCTGAGGTCAAGGGAGGAGAGAATTTCAAAGAGAAAGAGGTTGGTATCAAATGCAACAAAGTATCCAAAGTAGAAATGCAGTGAGAGCACCACTGCAGTCACTGCCTGAGCACATTCAGGGGGGCTTGGGGCTCAAAGACTGTGAGTGGCATGGAGTAGGAACACAGAGCAATGCAGACCACCTTTGTTGAGAGCAATTGGATAAACAAGAAGCAGAGGTGTTTTTTGTTTGTTTTTATTGTTGTTGTTTGAGACAAGGTCTCACTGTCTAGCCTTGGCTGGCCTGTAACTTGATTTGTAGATCAGGCTAGTCTTGAACTCACAGAGATTAAAGTGTGTGCCACCACTGCCCAACAAGAAGTAGAGTTTTAAGGTATGAAGGAGACCTGACAGGAGACCCGTTAAGAACACTGGAGGAGACCACAGGAACTAGAAATGTGAGTGAAGGACCAGTGAGGTATCAGGTCGGGTTAGGCTGCTCCTGAGCACCGGCACCTCCCTTGCACTCACACCTCAGTTCTCAGTTGAAGAGTGCAGTCAGCTCTTTCACAATCTCATCTTTTAAATCCCATTTTCATTTCTGAAAATAGCATTAATGTGGAATACAGTGCTTAAGAATGCAGGCCAGTGCAATACTCAGTGGGTTAAGGTACTTGCTGCACAAACTGACCTCCTGGAACACATGCAAAGGTGGAAGAAAGGGCTCCAAAGTGTCCTGACTTCCACCCAATACACACACTCTCTTTCTCATACACACATCCCCTCCCCAACACACACTTATTTTGCTTTTTTAATGCTCCAGAGCATTAGACTTGCCCCTCCTTGCTCATCCTCCAGCTGATGATCAGATCTTTCAAATTTGACCGTGCATTCCTGTTTAAGAATCCTGTTATGGCTTTCTATCACTTACCTTTACAGCACCAATGAATTTAGAGACCCCCACCCCATCTGGGCTAGTCCCATCCTTTTCAATATTGTTATTTCCCTTTTCACTGAGCATATTCCCTTCCTATCCTCGGGCTTAACAACTTCTCTTCTTCCAATACTATCCTTAGCATCACAGACAGAGCACTAGAATGCCCTGTGGTGTCTCTTCAGAGTTCCCTGTCTTCCTTTCTCAAGGCACAAATCACAACTATAACTTACTAATGACTTGGTTGGTCTTTCCCATCAGACTGTAAACTTTTGAAAGATACAGAGAAGGTGTGGTCTTGTGTAATACTGCGTGCGCTCTGCTGTTACTAGATCACAGCAGATTCCTCATTTAATTTCTTGAACGAAAATATAGAACTCATTTCACTCTCTCTTGACGTTTTAATTGTGAGCCTAGCTTTTACTGGCTGAACGATTGCTCCAGTCCACAGAATGCATTTTCTCAATGAAAAGCCTAAATTTTAATATCAAGCATGGACCTGTAAGCAGACCTTTCTTACAAGGTTAAGAATGACTTACAATCAATGCAATTATAATCAAGCTCAAGTTTCAAAAATTCCCAAAAAAGTCTGGTGGTGGTGAAACACACCTTTAATCCCAGCACCCGGGAGGCAGAGGCAGGTGGATCTCTAAGTTCGAGTTCAGCCTCGTCTACGGAGCAAGTTCTATAACAACCAGGAATGTTACACAGAGAAACTCTATCTCAAAAAACAAAAACAATCCTGAGAAGTGACATTTTCTTGTAACATTTTATTTTTATAAATATAAAATATATATTTTATAAAATATAAAGTATTTTAATTATTTAATTTTTGGGAAAAGTTATTTCTTTACTGGTAACATAGAGGTAAATGCCTTTAGTTAACTGCAATATATTCTTCACTGATAAAATCCAATTAATGTTACATTTGTTCACCTGGCTAACAAGATAAAAATAGAACTGCCATAAAATTCACTCAGCCTAAGGCATAAGGATGCAAAATAACTAACTCTGGAATTAAGCAGTTTTGCTGCTTAACAGTAGCTGGATGGGGTTCCTAGAAATGCCAACCCAGTCCCCCATGACCTTTAGGTGGCGCTCTAGCTGCAAGTGCAGCCTGTGCAAACAACCCACTTTGTTGTTAAACCTGAAAGCTTTGCCTGCCTTCTTCCTCGGTATCTTTTGTCTTTTCTACCATGCTTTACTATATAATTCCATAATTCTTTCTGACTAGATGATACTTATCAATGTAGGGCAAGAATAAAGACTGTCAGCCAGAGATGACTCCAGATAGGCTGTAAAAAGAAAAAAATGCCTCTCTTGTACATTTCTTCCAGGTAGATGTCTAATCCTTTCTTTTCTGTCAGGATCCCCACTATTTTCTTGTCTATGACTCATGGAGCCTCCATTCCCTTAGATGTACAAACAGTGCTTTTGTTTTAGTTCCTCTTCTGACTCAGCTCAGATGATCCTCCTGCCTCAGCCCTCTGAGTAGCTGGGGCTATAGGTGTGTACCACCATGCCCAGCTATTCACATTTTCAAAGGAGCCTTAGTATAGAAAAAAATGTCCAGTTAACTACTGCAGGTGCTCAGATCAACGGGGGTGTTGGGATCTGTCACTCTGCTACAGAAACGGTAGAGAAGTATATAAGTTGTGCTCTAAGGGAGCTGCGAGGAATAGGCTGCTATTATGAACTCATTTTAAGAGCTTCAAGTGCAGGATGTGGTAGCCCATGCCTACAATCTTAGCACTGGAGCAGGAGGATCACAGCAAGTCTGAAACCAGCCTAAGCTAGAGTCCAGGGTAGCGATCACACTATTGCATGTGCTGCTTTCTAAACACCGAGATTCTGCCTCTAAAATCTCCTTACAAAGAACCCACATCTTTTGAAAAGAGAATTAAGGAAGAACTTAGACCACCTCTTAAGAAAAGTTAATGATGCTCGAAATTTGAGACAGAAGTCCATATGCAGACCTCAATTCCAATTTTAACATATCAAAATGAAACATCCAGCCAGGCGGTGGTGGCGCACGCCTTTAATCCCACCACTTGGGAGGCAGAGGCAGGCGGATCTCTGAGTTCGAGTCCAGCCTGGTCTACAAGAGCTAGTTCCAGGACAGGCTCCAAAAAAAAAAAAAAAAAAAACAAACACAGAGAAACCCTGTCTGGAAAAAAACAAAAACAAAATATCCGAGGAGGAGCTGTATGTGTGTGGGGTGGTAGTGATGGTCATTGTATGCATGGGTAAAATATTTTCTAGAAATCATGTGTTGCAATCTATTGTTACAGATAAGAAATTTGAAAATGTGCCCAAGGTCCATCCCACTGAATTCTTTGGTTTGGGTAAAGCAGCAGATAGCCATCATATGTGCATTTCTCCTGGATCTAAAATATCCTTGAAAACAAAAATAATGTTCTTGAAATTCATGCCAAGATGTCCTTTCCATCTCCTAAAATTTCTTAAACATTGGTTTTAAGAAGTTGTAATAAAATATTGCATTCAGGAAGTAACTTTACAAAGTAAATATTAAGATCTGTAAAACACAGATCATCAAATATAGTTTCACAACAAAGACATTAGAACTACCTTTAGATATTAATTTAAAATCTCACAATACTAGGTTCTTGGAGTTTTTAAACCTCTACAACAGGCTCTGGTTTAAAAAAAAAAAAAGAAACACTAAAATTTGAGTTGCGAAAAAAATACTACTCTAACAAGATAGTTTAGCTGCATATATGAAGTAAGTTTATCATACGTACTTAAAGCTCTAGAATGATCCGGATTCCTTATTCCCTTTGCTCGTAACCTCTGAAGAAGAACTGTTGAGGACAACTGTTTTACAAGATATACTGCCATGGAATAGGTCTGGAAAAAAAAAAGATGTAGAAAACCAATCACATATTTAAGTAAACAGCACATCTATTTAATCCCACAGTGACAGGGAAAGAAAACTAACCCTTATCGCAGCGCCTATTGTGTGTCAAGTACTGTCTTAGGTGTTCTGGTAAATCCTGATTGATATGCAGCTCAGGTGGTTAAAAACCTGTTTTATGTGTGTGTGGATGAGAAAACTGAGGTAGCGAAGTAAAGAAAACTGGCCTAACTTTTAGCAAGCGTCAAGCTGAGAACTTCAACCTAGGGCTGCTGCACTCATTAGCACTGAGTGCTTGAAGTTAACATATTTAAGATTTTTATATGAAAGAACATTATTAAGACTAAATATAAGCCAAGGCTGCTAAGATGTTGACGGTATCATAAACCGTATTTAGTAGGTATCACATATTCTAAAATATGTAGCTATTAAATATTAATAATGAGATGGGCTGTAAGTTCACTTATTTAGTGCCTCACTATGCCTGGGGTACCACTAGATCCTAAAGACACTTAGGCAGTGTGCACATCATGCAGGTGAATCAGTAAAAGCTGCACAGAGAAGCGCTGCTTGAAGATGAGTATTGGATACTCAATGCCTACAGGGGCTACTTGAGAAGATGGTACAAAAAACAGGTAGCAAGCCAAGCTGGACGAAGGGTGTGTTATTGGGAAAGAGGAAGAGAAGAGGGCCAAGAAGGGACAAGAGAGAAAGGTTAAAGGATCTTTTTCTGTTTCATGCTGGGATCAAGTAGATCCAGACACTTTAAAAGAAGCGAGAAAACAGAGTTACCATCTTCTTTATAGCAACAGTTTTTAAGGCATTCCTGATATACACTACAGATCTTATTTCAGCTTTGCCTGCAGCCTATAGGAGGAAACAGGTGGTACTGCTCTATCTTGAAAGGCTGATGAAACTGAGGCACAGATTACACAATATGCTTATGATCATGTAACTATTTGGATGGGTGGGCAGTACAAACCAAGAGGAAAGGGCAAGGACTACAGGAGTCAGTGAGCAAGGGCCATGCAGTTCCACAAATTCTTGCTTCTACATACCAGAATTCACTAGAACCTCTTAGCCTAGCCCTACGAACATTCTAATCTAATCCATCCTGCACTGTTAAGAACTAAAGTAAGGGCCCCATACATGTTAAGAAGGCACTCCACCACTGAGCTATTTTCCCAGACTTAGCTTTATACTTTTAAATATGTATTTGCCTCTTAGCAACAGGAGGACACATCCTACAGAACCCTCTGCAAGGTTACACTTCCTGTGAAGTCCAGAAATCTATCTGGGATCACATGCTGAATATTTTCTGGGGAAAAAAAACCCTGAGATAGCGAATAGCAAATTTACTTATAAGTACAACTCAGTATTTTAAAGAAAAACAAGTAACTTTACAGTGTGCCTACATTTTAAAGTACACGACTTACTAATCTAATACAGAAGTGGTAAAGCATCTTTTAGGAGGAAACCCAAACCCTGTTTACCATCATTCCTTAATTGCTTAATGCTTCAGGTCAAACAGAAACAGGAGAGATGCTAATCAACAATGAGACTCTGGACTGACAGCTTCAATGTTCAAACTTGGAAATACCCCAGGGCTTTCTATTAGTATCTATGATGAGATCAAGGTAAAAAAAAATCCAGTTCAGTGAAAAGGTATGTGTGCTCTAGTGGAAACATGTAGTCAGAGAAGAAAATAAAAGCTGCAGGAACGCGAGAAATGAAATTCCCCTTGTACCAATGTCACAAGGGGATATTACAAAGAAAGATCCTCGAAAACAGTGGCTAAGTAGACAGTATTTCTGCTGGCCCCTCAAGGGCCAACTCTTTATATATATCCTCTCACAATGTTAATTTGTCTGCATTTCCCCCCAAAGTCTGTAAAACTGTAAGTTCATAAGATACTTTCTCCATAAACAAAATATTTGGTCCTTCTGTCCCCCTACATAATAGTGTCCAAATGATTCCTCCATCCACACGAAAAGTTTAACAAATGCTAAATAAAGTAAAATGCCACAGAATAGAGCAAGAAGCTATAATACGCTTCTCTCCTTCAGGTACTGTGTGGAGTTAACTTATTTTCTTTGAAAAGACAAATTTCCTCCTTTTCGCTTCCTCTTCCCTGACTGCTCTCTCTTTGTACTAGGGTTTCTCTAGAGCTTCCTGTAAGTTAGACAATCCTTCCACTAGGATAACTCAATCTTGTTTTTACTTTTTTACTTTGAGACAGGTTCTCACTCAGTTACGCAGGCTGGCCTAGAACAGATCAGGCAGGTTTTAATTTTGAGATTCTCTTGCCTTAGCCTCCTGAGTAGATGGAATTACACCCCTGCACCACCAGGCCAAGCAATAGAATGTCAGTAACACAGCCCAACATTCTGCATGGACTATTCAGAGCAGCCTCATAAGGTAAATTAAACTAGTGATTTTATTTTCTTTTCTTTTCTTTTCTTTTTTTTTTTTTTTTGGATTTTCGAGACAGGGTTTCTCCATAGCTTTTGGTTCCTGTCCTGGAACTAGCTCTTGTAGACCAGGCTGGCCTCGAACTCACAGAGATCCGCCTGCCTCTGCCTCCCGAGGGCTGGGATTAAAGGCGTGCGCCACCACTGCCCGGCAAAACTAGTGATTTGAAAATAATGTAATTATCATCTGAGATTTACAAAATAATCTCGTTTTACAAAAAAAAAAAACCAAAAACAAACAAAAAAACTCAAAACCAAAAACAAACATACAAAAACCTTGTTGTGTGTTTTGTTCTATTGGGGGGGGGCGCTATACACTAAAACCAATGGTAACACATGAATTAGTTGAAAGCAAAAATATAACCCTGATAGGTTTCAAAATTATGCTATAAAATTCAAAATTCATTTCTGCTTGCTTTTGATAATAGGCAAGGCCTCGTGTATCCCAGGATGGTCTTATACTTGTTATGGAGTCAAAGATGACATATTTCTGATCCTCCTGCATCTACCTTCTGGCTACTAGAGAACAGACATATGTTACCACCTCCAGTTAATAGAGTGCTTAGGCTAAAAGCATGGGCTTTGTGCACGGTAGGCAAGTATTTTACCAACTAAATTACATTCCCAACACCCAAAATCCATTTCTAATAACAAAATTCAGCAGAAGAGGAATATTAGGGGCTGGAGAGATGGCTCAGTGGTTAGAGCACTGCCTGCTCTTCCAAAGGTCCTGAGTTCAATTCCCAGCAACCACATGGTGGCTCACAGCCATCTGTAATGGGGTCTGGTGCCCTCTTCTGGCCTGCAGACATACACACAGACAGAATATTGTATACATAATAAATAAATAAATAAATATTTTTTAAAAAAAAAGAAGAGGAATATTATAAATATATAATATATAATTAATGTAACTAAGTTCTAAACTAATAGTGGGTCTGGGCTTGACGGCACATGTTTTTAATCCCAGCACCCAGGAAGCAGAGGCAGGTGGATCTCTGTGAGTTCCAGGCCAGCCTGATCTACATGAGTTCTAGGCCAGCTAGTGAGATCCTGCCTAAAAACAAAACAATCAAGCAAGCAAACCAACTCCTTCATGGTGGGACTCAGAAGCTATGAGCACTTGAGGACCAGAGGTTAGGGTTTTCTTACAAAAGTTTCTGACTAGTGATGGAGACAGGAAAACTGCTGGGGTCTGCTGTCTTCTGTTAGGTCTGGCTACCTTGCCTCAGAGGTACATCAAAGAGTGATAGAAGAGGACACTGATGCCATCTCTGGCTTTTATTTATACACACACACACACACACACACACACACGCACGCACGCACATGTACACACATTCTAATACTAAATATCATGACAGCAGTAATATTCTCCTTAACAAAAGAACAATAAAGATGTTGAGTAGCACCTATGATATGTTTAAAAAGTTCTAGCTAGTAGAAGAAATAAGGCATATGTTATGTATTTGTGTAAATGACAATCTCAAGTTATATACCACCCTCCTGGAAATACAAAAAGATCAACTAAAAAAAACCCCAAAAACCACTATCTAAATTTAAGTAGGAAATGTCCACAAACAAGAAGTTTTAGAGTAAGTCAACAATAAATAAACCCTATAAAATTTAACAGGAACAAAAGATACACTGGAAATAGCAACTAAACCAACCCAGGAATTAAGAAGGATACAGGACTGACAAAGACAGATACTAAGCCTAATCAGTTACAGGGGAGCACTGAGGAAGATTTGAGTAAATGGAGAAACACAGTTCCTAGAGTTGATAACAGTGAGTATCACCATTAACTACCTCCTCTTCCCAGTTCCCTAACTTCCACCTGTGGTTCTACAGAAATCCTACTCAAGAATCTGAGGAAGACACCTAGAGGTTGAGTGAGGAAAGGAGAGGAAGGCACATGGTTAAGTAATTCCACAGTTCATGTGGCAAAATAAATGTGAAGAGAAGGTTCACTGTCTCATGCTAATAACTTTCCCAGACACATTAAAATTCGCCCTCTAAGACAAAGAATTCTCAGTCTCACATCCTTCCAGTTCATCTCCTCTCTCCTAAGTGACAGGCTTATAATTCAACATCTCTACAGCTAGCTTTCCTCCAGCCCATAACAACAGAACACTCCAATCTTCTATCAAAACTATTCCTGCTAAGGTCACTTGTGTGTTCTCAAGTTGAACAGTTATTTTGCGTCCGTAAGTTTATTCGTGTGTCCATGTGGAAGCCAAATATTGACATTGGGTGTCGCTTCTTAATCACTCTAGGCTAAGGCTCCCATGAACACTTCTGGAATAGTTGGTTCCTAAGATGTGACTGCTGTATGATTTGGGCATCTACCTCAACTACTTAATGATTCTAAGGAGTAACCCTGTTCTAAAAGGAAACATGCAAACTTTCTCCTTAAAAAGAGAAAATGCTTACCTTTGACCTTTCCTACAAAGCCCTGTGTGGTTTGCCCTTAAGTCACAGTGAAACCCTTTCAGCTGCTTGGCAAAGCAGAGGCTCATCCCTGCCATTGGGTTGCTGTGTTTCCTCTGAATGTTTCCTGACTCCCATCCTTCTCCTAGCTCTTCTCTCAAGTCATTGCATCCATAGGGAAGCCCTTCCCTGAACTCTCTTCTCTTTCAAGTCCTTGACTACCCTAAGATCCCAGTCATTTTCCTTTATGCACTTAAACACAAAGACATTTCTTGGTGTGTTTGTGTGGAGCCCCCAGATCTCAGGCCCCAGAAAAACAAGGGTGTGTTCTCTCTACACTATGCAGTGACACACAGCCAACAAATCTTAACTCATGGGTATCCTAGAAAATGAAACCTAGGCTAAGAAACAGTATAGAAAAAGTTCAGAAACAGAATATAAAAAATCATGTAACAATGATGGCTTCAGAGCTACCATTTACTTAGAACTAGGTTAGCTAGTGAAAATGAATTTCTCATACAACATATGAATTCAAGATGGATTAAATAGGGGCTGGAGAGATGGCTCAGTGGTTAAGAGCACTGACTGTTCTTCCAGAGGACCTAGGTTCAATTCCCAGCACCCACATGGCAGCTCACAACTGCCTGAAGATCCAGTGGCAGGAGATCTGACACCTTCATACCAATGCACATAAAATAAAAAAGTTAAAAAAAAAGATGGATTAAATATTTAAAGATAAAACAAGAAACCTTTGTAGTTTAGTAGTCTAGCTTATTAACAGTTTGGCAAGCATGGGTAGACAGAGGATGATGGGAAGAAGAAAAGAGTACAAAGCAAAAAGCTGGTTAACAATTAGTGTTATGAAAATGTAAATCTACATACAAATAACCACAAAGATTGAAAAGCTGTATCAAAGGGTACAAGATGTATCAAACGGTAAATTCTCAACATATTAAATCTAGTAAGACAACTAAGAAAAGGACAAAAAAGAAATGGACATAGATGCAAATTTAAAATATTAATAGTTATAAAAACCAAATATGTTCATTCTCACCAAAAACAAAAGGGGTACTAAATGCTAACATTTACTTAATGGTGAAGGATTTTAAAAAGATAATATTGTTGCAGGCATGCAAATAAACACTAAAAGTCAGGGAACACATTTGTACATCTTTGGGGAAAGCCATCTGTCAATGCACACAAAACTTCTTAAAATTCCTCATATTCTTTGGCTCAAAAATTCTACTTATGAGAATTTACTGTAAGGAGATCATCATGCATGTATGCACCGCTACAGCTGCCAGGACAGTATTCAAAGATCAGTATTCAACACCAGAGAGTAGGCCAAATAGTGGCATATCCTTACCACCATATGATATAGTCATTTAAAATGCTGCAGAAGAATATGTAACAACACAGAAAGAAGTTTATGATAAATTATAGAGTGAACAACCAATGGAGACTACACGATCCTGCATCAAGTAGGAATAGGTTAAAACCTCACAGTGAGACAGAAATCCTTGTCTACTTGCTCACAGTATAATTCACATATTACAGACAACCACAGTAATTAACCGTTCCTCATGACAGGAAAAGAGTTACAAACAAAAGCTTACTTACCCTTCCAATTTCTGCCGTCCAAGAAACAACAATGGTATTTGGTACTGTCGTGGACAATCGGACAAGTGAGGTGATATTAATTGGTCTGCTAGGTCGCTTTGGTTCCACACCATTTTTAGTAGGTGGAAGGTAACCCTAAGAAAAAAATATAATTTATTTATACTATTTCCATTTCTTAAAACAAAAAAACTAAACAAACTACAAAGTACAGGCTAGAAAATACAAACGATTTCATTAAAAAGTAGGGAAGCAAACATTTATGAGTTACTTAGGCAATAATCTCTCTAAACAACCTAATAGTTTCACTTTAGCGAGTCTGAGAAAAAAACAGTGATAGAAATTCAAAATCTCTTAAATCAAAATGAGTTCATAACGGCTTAAAAGAGGTATACAAGGAACATTTCTGAGGAAAACAAACACAGCTCCCAGTATTACTCCATCTAAGGCACAGAGGCCCTGATGAATTCTGCTTACTACAGGCAAACAGGTTCACAGGAATATAGCTGAGTGAGATTCTGTCTCCCTAAAACCAAGCACAACACCAATGCTACTATGGGCAATGTTATAATTTTCTCCTCATGGCTCATGTCACAACTGCTAACTGAAGTCTGCAAGTCTCACCTAGTCACATGAATATATATAAAATGTCTCCATCCTGTGGCAGTGGAGCTGACCACAAGGTCTTTTCAATAATACTAAGCAAGCACTCTACCACTGAGCATCATCCTTAGTTCCTCAAATGTTTCTTAATGTAAAAGTGCAATTGAAAACATCTAAGATGACTTATGCGATAGTCACATGGGTAATGTAATTCAAAAACTGTTTTTAGAACTTACTGGAAGGCTGCAAGGTTTTGTATTCACTTTCACACAAAGGTTGGGTGGGAAGTGATCTTCTTGTGGACAACTGGTTTCTGACAAACAAAACCTAAACGGCAAAGGTAAATTTTAATTTGCTTTATAAAAGATAACCTCTAACATTTTTATTTCATAGCTAACTTGAAAGATGATCAATTTTAAAATAGAAAAAGAATAAGAAACACAGGCAAACAGGCTTAAAACACAGTTGCTCTTTGAACAGTGGCTTGAATTATACAGCCCCGAGTATGTATGTGCATAAATAGTGGTGACTTAAACAAACTGGAAGAAAAACCAGTTATCCGAGATATTGAAAAACATCAAGAATTTAGATAACCCCAAAATGCATAAAATATGTGGATAATAGTGTACCTTCTAAGTTACCACAAAATACACATATATCTACTATTTGTAGTAATAAGGGCGGCGGGGCTGTGTCCCCAGCACCCCGGCTGCCTGGCTAGCTTATGCCCGAAATAACAACACACAAACTGTATTCATTTAATCACTGCTTGGCCCATTTCTATCTAGCCTCTTCTAGGCTAATTCTCACATATTAATTTAGCCCATTTCTAATCATCTGTGTAGCGCCCCTAGGTGCGCTTACCGGGAAGATTCTAGCCTATGTCCATCTTGGGTCGGAGCTTCATCGCGTGCGTCTGACTGGGAGCTGGGAGCATGGCGTCTCTCTGAGGCATCTGCTCCCGAGGAGAGCTGTGGAGTCTGAGCTCACTTCCTCTTCCTCCTAGCGTTCTGTTCTGTTTACTCCTCCCACCTATCTTCTAACCAATGAGGGCCAAGCAGTTTCTTTTTATTTAACCAATGACCTTCCTCCATCAACTATTCAAATGTTAAAGTCCATCAAATTTATGTTCACAGACCAACCACACCTGCTTTCATTCTCAATCAAAGTGAAACAAACACAAAGGTGAGATATTAAGTCATAACTGTACAAAACAGTAGCCCACTATACTGCTTGAGGGATGTCATAGAGCCTCCTGTTTCTGGGCAACTGGAACAGATCCCGAGTATGTACTAGGGACAGAAGTAAAAAGGAATTAAGAGTAAACAATTATTTCTCAGTGTCTATAAAAGTAAACAGAGTGAGAACAAGAATTCCAACACTGCCTCCCATTTCTCAGACACTGAGGATCTACTTCCCGCAGCTCAGGGTCAGTCATCTCTTTGAGCAGTCCTTCAATCCCATAACAGTCACAGTCAAAATGGCTATCTCACACGCGTCTTGTTCGTTTTTACCAATACAGCAATAACAAGGTATGTGGTAATTAGCTGTCTAGGATCAGTCAACTATTCAGTTAGGTTTGGGGGAGACTCCAAAATTATATGTGGTTGGGCATAGTGGCCACATCTTCAATCCTAGCAGTCAGGGAGCAGAAACAGAAGGATATCTGTGACTTCCTGCTAGCCAGGGCTATGTAGCAACACCTTCTCTTAAAATAACCAAAAAGGTTACATGTGGATATAGGAGAAGAGGTGGGAGATTGTCTCCTTAATTCCTTTTATCTCACCTAAGTTGCTTAAAGTCAATAGTAAATAGTTCCATCAAGTATCTGGATTAGCAATTACAACTACCACTTTGCAATAGTGTTAATGATGGCTTTAGAATTATTTAATTATCTTCTGAGGGACAGAGCTTCCTCAGATATTAGCAGGTATTAAAAATAAATTTTTAAACTTTTAATTTTTTTGAAATTATATCATGTCCCTCTTCCTTGCCATCAACCCTCTTTCCTTGTTCTCTTTTAAATTCATAGCCTCTTTCTTTCTTCAACTGTTTTGTGTGTGTGTGTGTGTGTGTGTGTTTCTAAGTATATAAATATAGTACGCTAATCCATAAAATGCTAGCTGTACGTACAGGTCTTCAATCTGATCATGTCATTTTGGATAACCAGCTGGTGTGCTCTTCCCTAGGGAAGACTATTTTTCCTATTCTCAATATTCCTTAGTTGTTTGTAGTTTGTCTAAAATTGAGGAGGCATCATGAACTTTCAATTTTTTTTTTCTTTTTAAGGCTCTGTAAGTTGAATAAACTTTTAAAAGCCTAAGTCAAAACAATTAAAGCTTCTATATTAAAGACTTTCCCAGAGCTTCAAACTGGTTCATGTGTATTATAAAACAAAGAAGACATATAGCATACAATAGCTCTGATACTGCCTTTGAAACATTTTGTTTTGCTCCTCAGTAGAATATACTGAAAACATAATTTCAGGGCCAAAACCCCACTCCTAAGACCAAGTTCTGTCGAATGAGCCAAGGAGCTCCTTCACTACTGGAGAACCAAAGCCACTGAATAATCACAGCATTTGTGCTACATCTGGATAAAGTAGAACACTGTTTCAGAAAGTCACAAAACATTTATTTCTAAATTAAATGCATAATCTTTTGGGAAAACGAAGGCTAGATACACAATTTGTAACTTCTCATCTGACTGACTGACTTTTACTAAGCTAGATAAATGGTTTTTTATTACTTCCTATTCCCAATATACAGCCATCCTTCACTCCATTTTTACAGCAAACTCACAGCACCTCTGGGCTGTACAGGAGGAGAGCCCTCCTTGTGAATTCTGTGGAACATTCATTACATGCAGTCATCTGCTCTTCACATCTGTTGTGAGGTCTTAATGTGCCAGCTATGGAATCTGTACAGGAATGGTTCACATAAAAAAACCACTTTGCCATGTCAAAGCATATGAGTGCACACTTATACATACGTACGTAGGTATATACATACATACATACATACATGCACACCCACAAACATTCATTTTTAGGAAAACAATCCATAGTTTCCAATAGATTCTCAATTGGTTAAGAAATACTAATTTACAACCCTTTGCTAGAAATGTTCCTAGGAAACAGCTATCAGAGTTCACAGAGATAGGTATAAACCCAGTAGAGATCTTCATTACAGGTTATTTCTTTTGTCATTGTTATCATTTTGTTTTTATTTTTGAGACAGGTCTTACTATGTATTGGCAATCCTCCTGCCTCTGCCACCTGAGTGCTGGGATGACAGGAGTGTGTCACTGCATCTGATTTACAACAGTAAAACGATGCCACAGCTTATAATTATTCAAGTGCAGTGATAAATTCAAACAAAGACACCATGATACCTAAACCTGTAGGAAAAGAATAATCTACATGACTAGTGACTCCTCATTCTATTAGGTAAAAGGTGTCTCAAAACTGAAGGCAAAAGAGGGGCCAACAGCAGACAGTTTCTGTGAGATGCTTCAGAAGGTGGGAGCAACAAGTCCATATATGAAAACAGACTACATGTTTAATAGTAACCATTATTTTTCATAATTTATGATAAATATTCATAATGAAAAAATAAAAAGGCACATACATTTTAAATAACACACCAGCTTAGCAATGGGGATATGGGAAGACAAGGGGAATAAGGGAGACTTTTATTAAGACACAAAGATTGACAAATAAATAAGTAAGTGAAGAACAAACAGCCAGAAATGCTAGCTCACATCTGAAATTCCAGCACTTGGGAGACAGAGGCAGGAGGACTGCTGTAAATTCTAGGCCATCTTGAGCTACTATGTGAGACTCTACCTCAAAAACAACAATACCCACTATCCAAAATGGGGGAGGGGGCGGGCAGCAATGAGAGATGGCTGAGCAGATAAGGCCTATAAATCCAAGTTCGATTCCCAGAACTTACATGCTGGAAAGAGTGAAGTGACTCCCTCAAATTGTTCTCTGATCCCCACACGCAAACACACCCAAACACAGCAAACAGATAAACAAATCAACAAACAAGCAAAAGTAAGAAGAATATGTAGACACAAGAAGTGCAGTATATTGTAGCAACATGTAATTATTTATGAAGACACCGCATTTTGTCTTTGACTTTGTTCAGTCATTTTCACAGTCTGTTCTGGACACGCAATGACATCTTTGCTAGTGCCTTTTAAAACTAAGTCTTAGATTAAGGCTGGTCCTGTTGCTTTAGGGTATAAAAGCTCCTAAATCTTGTCAATCACTTGGTTTTCTCAGCAAGTCTGGTCTGACCTCACTACTAGAGATTAGGTGAGAAGTGTTTGCATGGCTCCATGAAGCTGGGCGGTGTGTAGACTGCTGACCTCTTTTCTGTCTTTAATCTGTATGTGACTGTTGTTACCAGGTTGTTTACAGGAAAAACAGCCCACTGAAGAAATCAAATGCTTTGTTCTCTTCTATTTCTTATTGCAATAAGATATGGAGACTCGCCAAGTAAGAAAAGCAGGCAAAATGGGTTTATATAAGGAAGAAAAGGGGGCTGGAGAGCTGGCTCATTGGTTAAGAACACTGGCTTTTCTTTCAGAGGACCTAGGTTCAATTCCCAGCTCCACATGGCAGCTTACAACTGTCTTTAACTCCAGTTCCAGGGTATCCTACACCCTCACAAAGACATACATGCATACAAAACACCAATGCACATGAAATAAAAATAAAGTAAAAAAAAACTAATTAAAAAGAAAAAAGATGTCTTAAATGCTCTAGAGGGAGCAGAAGGGCACAGAAACAAAGCATGAGAAGGGCTGCAAGCCTGTGTTGGCATGCTTCTGTGCATTCCTGAGAACTTCCACAAAATGACAGGTGAAATAGGATGAAGCAGATTAGAATATCTAGGGAATGTTCATGATATTCTGCAGACTGATGTGCTGTCACCTCTTCAGTAGAGAAAGCATATGAACTCACAGAGATCCTGCTGAGCCTTCATCCTAAGTAAGTGCTGGGATTAAAGGCCCATGTCACAACTACCTAAAAGTTGATGCTTCTTAAGTGCCTTTAAAGATGTCATCAGCTGCAGCTTCCCAGCCACCCAAGGACCACCACCATGGAAAAGATCCCACATGGGCAGCAGAGCCTCCCACAATGCTTTTTCTTCCTAGGTATCTTGTTGAAAATTGAGGAGACTTTTAAATAAATTAATTTCTAGCCGGGCGGTGGTGACGCACGCCTTTAATCCCAGCACTCGGGAGGCAGAGGCAGGCGGATCTCTGTGAGTTCGAGGCCAGCCTGGTCTACAAGAGCTAGTTCCAGGACAGGAACCAAAAAGCTACGGAGAAACCTGTCTCGAAAATAAAAAAAAAAAATTAATTTCTAAAGAACATATTTTAAAATTTGAATATATATTATAGTCAACACTGTACCTTAATTGGACCTGTACTGTGAAGTCACATTTGGTCCCAGAAATATCCCTAAAATAGAATGAGAATAGAAATTATTTTAAAATAAATACATGAAGACATGTTACTCCATTCCTAAATACCAGAAATGTCAACAGTGCTTATACTCGTGTGTGTGTGTGTGTGTGTGTGTTAGAGAGAGGGGAAGAGAGAAAGAAGGGAAGAGGAGGAGGGAAGAAAGGAGGGAGGGAGGGAGGGAGGCAGGGAGGGAGGGAGGGAGAGAAGGAGGGAAGAAAGGAGGAAGGGAGTGAAGGAGGAAGGGAGGGAGTGAAGGAGGGAGGGAGGTAATGAAGGAGGAAGGGAGGGAGGGAGAAGGAGAGAGGGAGGAAGATATGCTGAAGGCCAAACCCATTTACTATGTTGGTCCTGGGCTTACACCAAACTGCAGGTCAGATGGAAGGTGACTTACATGGAGCTGCTGATCTGCTGCACCTGTTGTGGAGTCAAGGCAAATGCAAAACAGGTTTCCCGAAAGCGCTGGCTGTTGTCTGATGCTGAAGAAGAAAAAGAGTTACATTTTAATAAGCTTGAAGTTCATCAGAACAGAAAACAATAGCCAGAACCACATCCTTAATTAACTGGAGTATATTCTAGAGACCAGACAATGAAAGCACTGAGAATTAACAAATATGCTAGATATAATATATCAGAAAGATACAGAGAGGCCTAATTCCAGATAGCAAATTAGAATTCAAATTCAGAGAGTACACAGCAAACGCTAACCAAAAGTTGTCTAATTATATGCACATTTTTATAACAGCATACTGATACTAATTTCATTTAAAATGCAATTTTATAAACTCATTTAAATATACATAGTTTCTGAAGTAAGAAACAAATATATCTGCTTTGAGATCTGCACAGGTAAAATTGCATTTAGTTTTTGAAGTAAATGAAAACTTGTCTCCTATTAATACTAGACTTGTTTGTTTTGAGATAGGGTCTTGCCACAATGCTATGTAGTCAAACATAACCCTCCTGTGCCCAGAACCTGAATGCTGTGATTATAGGTGTGCACCACCACACCTAGACACATGTTTTGTATAATGTTATATACAGTTTCTCTTATTCTTGGATGAGTTTACTTCTCAAAGAAGGAACAAGGTATAAGAAAAATACAAGAACGAAGAACAAAAAGAATAGGGGTGGGGCAGGCAGCAAGCAGTCAGGTAAGCACTTGTCACTGTAGAACAAGGATTCCCTAACTATGCTGAGATCAACAACAGATCCACTGGCTTTCCGAGAGACATTCAGGCACACAGAAGCAAATATACATAGTGTCTGGGTGTCGAGCACTGAATGACTATTTGTTGAGTAAACAAACTGTAAACATTAAGAAATATCAGGCCTGGGGGTATGGCTCCATTAAGAGGTTTCTGGCTAGCAAACTCCAGTACCACATAGACTGGGTGTGGTGGTACACACTTGTAATCTCAGTACTCAAGAGGATGGAGGTTCAGAAAGCCAAGGTTATTCTCAACTATACACTGAGTTTTAAGGTCATCCTGGGCTATATGAGGTCCTGTCTTTCAGGAGAAAAATTTAAGCTGCACTTTTGCAAGGTAATTTTCTACAACTGAAGAATCACTAAGAGTTATTACCATGGAATTCTTGGCTGTGGGCTATTTAAAACTGCAGAGAAACTAATTGTTGGCTATTTTCAATCTCTTGCTTAGCCAGGTTTGTTCTCTTACAAGCAGCACTTAAACCACCTCAAATGCAGCATTCTTCATCAAAAAATCTGCACAACCACCACTCTAAGAAAAAGCGATGGAAAAGAGCATGGATCTAAAATTACATCTCAGTGCAGGAGCAGTATCTTTTAAAGGCTAGATTTGCATTTCTACTTCATGTGTGGGGAGAGGCTTTTTCTTAAAGAATTATCACCAAGGAATGGTTGCTAACCAGAAAAAGTTATTGCAATTCTAAGTGACAGTTTGGCAATGACCAATAACTAAGGAGCAGTGTGCAGGAAAGCAAATATTGCCCTCTGTCAGCAACCCAAGATACTAGCTTTCTTTCTTAGAGGATCCTGTATGGAGATTTTTTTGCCCAGCAGGCTTGGCCTAATTTAAATCTTTGGCTCCGCTCTAAAACAGTGCTAAAAAAAATCTCCCAAGAACAAAAATTCATATTATTCACTAGGCAAAAATTTAGATTCATTTTCAAATATATGACTATTGTGAAGTTTCAGATGTGTACAGATTTAGATAAGATAACTGCTAAAACAACGTGGTTGCTTCTTCCATCCCACAATGATTTAAAATCCGCAATGCAATGGATTCTACCCATGGGTGCCATAAAGCACTGACCTAATCTCATTATTGAGAACAGCCATTTTTCAAATATCAGAAAACATGGACACCTTCTCCCTTCCCATCAGCCATTTCTCTTGACATATCCTAGGCTGTGACACTTGATTAAAAGGCCATAATAACTGAACACTCTTTTATAGCATTTATTATTTGTTCAAAAAAATATGCAGACCCTCTGCACTGACTGGCGCAACTGGGTGGGAGGGTCAGACAGCCCTGTACAAATGAAGTGAAGCAGCCTTCTAAGTTTCATCACCTTTCTTGTCCTCTTGCCTTGATTCCAGAGAGCAGAACATGAAGCAAAACCATAGCCAAGGAACACACAGAGAAGCAAACCTCAATTGTCAGCCACTGACATCTGTCACTCTATGATACTACAGGTGGGCCACGACCAAAACACTACAATTACTACAGTTACTATCACTGTTTATTATTTGGGACAATCTCTGAACATCTCTGAGTTTACAGGTTAGTGTTTGGGAAAGAGGAAGGTGCTTATTTTCTGTCAATCAAATTAGAGCTGTACAATTTCACAGTTAAAAAAGTATGACCATGGACTGCAGAGATGGTCAGTGTGTACAGTGCTTGGAGGACTTGGATTGGATTCCCAGAACAAAATGCCAGACATGTTAATATGCTGGTGGCACACATTTGCAAACCCAAGGTTGAGACAGACATTAATGATCCCTGGGGCTTAATGACCAGCCTGCTCGGGTGAATAAGGAAGCTTCAGACTCAGTAGAAGACTCTGTCTCAAAAAACAAGGTAGAGGGGCAACTCTATCTCCCTGGCCTCCCAACTCCAACAGTTTCATGAATAATAATACAAGAGGATTAAGTAGTTGTGCTAATGTAACAGCCCACAACAGTTTATTCATCTAGTAATTGCCCTTTCTTCTGGTCAGCAAAGGAGTTGTTGCTAATTTAATGTGTAGTTTTCAGCAACTACTTAGTAGTTTAATTCACATTTAATTTTTTATTTGTTTTTGTTAAATTTTTTATTTTGTATAATCTTATTCTGTGCTTACTTATATGATTTCATATGCGAAAATATTAAAGTAAGTCCTTGGAAATTTGCTACAAATATTTCTTAGAGTCTGGTAATGTCCCCCACATCCCCACTCCACTTTGGCTCCATTTTTAGATGGTATAAAAGTTAAATCTTGGGTTGTAGAGATGGCTCAGTGGTTAAGAGCACTGGCTGCTCTTCTAGAGGACCCAGGTTCAATTCCCAGCACCCATATGGCAGTTTACAACTATTAATAATTCCAGGGGATCAGACATCTGTACATAAAACCAAGCTACATTATTTAAAAAAAAAAAAAAGTCAAATCTGGGCCAGAGAGAAGGCTCAGCAGTTGTTATGTGCTTGCTGAGCAAGTCAATGACATCGCTGGATCTCTAGAACCTATGCAAAAGTAAGATGTAGTGGTGCATGTCTGTAGTCCCAGCATTCCTGTGGAGAATCTTCCAGAAGTTCAAAGGTCAGTGAGCCTGGAAAACACATGCAGAGGAAAACAGGAGAGATCCTGCCTCAAACAAAGCAGCAGGTGTGAACTCACATCAAAGACTGTCTACTGACATCCACGAATGATACAACACACATGTGCCTTCATACATGAACATATATACACATATATCATAAACATACAAAAATAAATTAACGAACAAATATTTGAAGTTAAATTTTTATGTAGCTTACTCTATTAAGTATTGTCTTTGTAAATTCTTATACTAAGATTAGTACAAATACTTTTGTTGTTTCTATATAATTATTTTACATATATGAAACTTACTTTAGTATATGATATTATAAAGTTAAAGTTCTATTACTTCAAACTGCTTATAGTTATTTGTTAAATAATTCAGACTTTCAAGCTAGACATGGTGATACATGCCTTCAATCTCAGCATTTGGGAGGCATCTTTGAATTTAGTTTCTGCCTGGTCTACAACAAAGTTCCAGAGGGCAATGTAAGGAGAAAATGCCAAAAAAAAAAACACCCAAAAGAAAAGAAAAATGTGATTTTTTTTCTAAGTCTGTATGTTTGTTTGATCCTATATTAGAACCTTACATCCAAGCTACTTTTTTTTTTTTAAAGAGATTTTTTTCCACTGACCACTTTGGGGGAAGGTCTTGATAAGATTTCCTCTGCATCCAAACGTATGATCCTCCTGACAACCTCCCCGGTGCTGGGGTCTCAGGCAGTAATATCCATGCCCGGCTTCCACTGTTCTTTTACCTTAGTACTCGAATACTACTTTTAATTTCTATAGCTGATTATGATTTAGCATCTCGTCATTAGGTTTCTGCATATCCATCCCCCCACTCACTCACTCAAGGCTCAAATACAGGTATCTAGATGAATTTCCAACTATTAGGATATTTTGGGTTGTGGTGTGTGTATCCATGTGGAAGACAGAAGACAGTTGGATATCTTCCTCAGTTTGCTCTCCACCTCTATTCTTTTGGGACAGGGCCTCTCACAGAACCTAAAGTTCACCAATACAGCTAGGCCGGTTGGCCAGAGAGAAATCCTGGGATCCATGCCCTGCTGCTGTGTTACAGGTAGGTACAGCCACTCCTGGCTTATTTCTGTAAACATTGGGGATCCAAACTCAGAGTCCCAAGCTTGCAGAGCAAGTGCTCTTACCCACTGAGCCATCTGCTGAATCCTACTATTATCATTTTTTCAAAGAGACTCCGACTGTGAAGACTAGGCTAGCTTTGAACTTGCAAGATCTGCCTGCCATTACCTCCCGAGTGCTGGGATTAAAGAGAGCGTCACCATACCTGGCTACTACTATGACTTTTAAAGCCTAATTATATTTCAAGTAGAACTACTATAAACTTACAACTTACTTTAAGAGTATTCTATATTCACCTCCTTAATCTTTTTGCCCCGGAATATTATACTTTTATACTTGTTATCCACTGATTTATAGTCAAGGCTTTATATCCACCATACAGCTGTACAATTCACAAATACCCTTTTTATACAGCATATCTACTTATATGAGACATCTGAATAAGCATACGTATAAAAGAATATAAGGAAAATAATGAAGGTAATCACTATATATTGCTATGGGAGTGAGCCTCAAAATATATCATTAGAGGCTAAGAGACGGCACTGTAGTTGAGAGCACGTTGTTCTTGCAGAGAACGAGTGTTCAGTGT